GGGTGTGCAAAGATGGGATTTCCCTTCAAAATCCCTTGGACTATTCTGGACTGTTGGATGTTCCTGAATTGGTAACTATGTATCTTTAATGTGTAGTTAAGGCAAAGAGCCATGGGTTTTTCTTGTTTTCAGTAATCTCTGATAGTCTGTTGCTAAGCTCTGTACTGAATAAAGATCCTTCTTATTGCTAATTTGTCTCTTATGTTGTAACTTGAATTCCAAGTCTAAATCTTGTAGCTAACCCTGACCACTTAAGCTACCTTGGTAAGAGTAAAAGTGTGCATCTCTGGATTGAGTTGCTAATGTGTTCTGTCCCAGATGCCAACTAAGGGCTGAATCTCTCCCTTAGGAAAAGCAGGGACTATTGAAAAGAGATTCTGGTGGCAAATTGTTCTGAAAACCAGAGAGGGTATAGACCATCTCGTGGTTTGTTGTTTAATGTACTGAAAAGTACAGGATTCCCTCTCATCCCTGGACTGGCCTGGGGGTGTTAATCCTGTACAGTTGCATCGGTAACACTGTCTAACCATCTCATCCTTACCTTCAATCTTTCCCAGCATCAGGGTCTTCTCCAGTGAGTGCTCCTTTCTCATTTGGTAGCCAAAGTATTTAAGCTTCAGCTTCAGTATCTGGCCTTCCAGGGAACAGTCAGTCCTCTAGGATTGACTGATTTGATCTCCTTGCAGTCCAAGGGACTCTCAAGAGTCTTCTCCAGCACCATAATTCAGAAATATCTATTCTTTGGCTCTTGGCCTTCCTTATGGTCTACCTCTCACACCCATATATTACTACTGGGAATACCATTGCTTTGACCATGCGGTCTTTTGTTGGCAGGGTGATGTCTCTACTTTTTATCATGCTGTCTAGGTTCACTTTCCTTCCAAGGAGCAGGCATCTTTTAATTTCATGGCTGCAGTCACCATCTGCAATGATCTTGGATCCCAGGAACGTGAAGTCTGTCACTGCTTCCATGACTTCCCCTTCTATTTGCCAAGGAGTATTGGGGCTGGATGCCAAGATCTTAGTTTTTTTAATGTTGCTTTTCAAGCCAACTTTTGCACTCCTCTTTCACCCTCATTAAGAAGCTCTTTAGGTCCTCTTCACTTTCTGCCATTAAAGTGGTATCGTCTTCATATCTGAGGCTGTTGATGTTTTTCCCGGCAATCTTAATTTCGGCTTGTGATTTATCCAGGCCGGCATTTTGCATGATGTACTCTGCATATAAATTAAATAAGCAAGGTGACAATATACATCCTTGTCATACTCCTTTTCCTATTCTAAACTAATCAGTTGTTCCATGTCCAGTTCTAACTGTCGCTTCTCGACCCTTATACAGATTTCTCAGGAGACATGTGAGGTGGTCTGGTACTTCCATCTCTTTAAGGACTTGCCATAGTTTGTTGTGATCCACACAATCAAAGACTTTAGCATAGTCAATGAAGCAGAAGTAGATGTTTTTCTGGTACTCCCTTGCTTTCTCCATAATCCAGCGAATGTTGGCAATTTGATTTCTAGTTCCTCTACCTCTTCGAAACCCAGCTTGTACTTCTGGCAGTTCTCTATCCGTGTACTGCTGAAGCCTAGCTTGTAGGATCTTGAGCATGACCTTGCTAGAGTGTGAAATGAGTGCAATTGTGCGATAGCTTGAATATTCCTTGGCATTGCCCTTCTTTGGGATTGCAATGTAAACTGATCTTTTCCAATCCTGTGGCCACTGTTGCGTTTTCCAAATTTGCTGGCATATTGAATGCAGCACTTTAACAGCATAATCTTTTAGGACTTTGAATAGCTCAGCTGGGATACCGTCATCTCCTCTAGCTTTGTTGTTAGTAATGCTTTCTAAGGCCCATTTGACTTTGCACTCCAGGATGTCTGGCTCGAAGTCAGCGATCATACCATTGTGGTTGTCGAGGACATTTAGATCCTGTATGATACCACAGAGCAATTTCTTAATGATCAGCCTGCAAGGATCAGGAGCAGAAGGTGTTGCCCTTTTCTATCCCTCAGTGGTGATAGTTACAAGGATCTGGAAAACCCCATGCTTTGCTATAAAAGGAAATTGCTGCCAAATGTAGGCCCATAGTCCTGGGTGAAAGTTTGTGCTCCTTAAGGTGTGCTAAGTAACAAAGGACATAGAAGTGGTGACAGACTATGAATTCCAGAAGAAGACAAAGGAACAAAATAGTACAATCTATGGGGAAAGAAAATCGCAGCAAAAGTGTTTAAACAACCATGTCAGCAAGATCCAAAGAAAACTGATATGTATGAGACACTAATCAGGATGTAAGGTGAATATCTAAAGTGACTCTTGAGATTGAAATTTAAGTCTGAATTTGGTTGTTGTTACATGTCAGTGATTATTTGCCCAGAAAAAAGTACTTTCTCCATTTAGTCTCAACTTGCTACATATGCAGCTTTGTCACAGGATCTCAAAGGGCAATAAATCTAATGCTCTTTACTTCTAGTGTGCTTGGGTTCCATGAAAAACTTCAGGGTCCTTTCTAAGAAGCTTCAAAATTGGAGTGCATTTTATCTGTTAAAGCTGTTAATTCAGTTGACAGTTATTTTAATAATAGAACCACAGTGAGGGGTAGATTTATACAAGTTTCAAAGGAAAAGTGAATCAGGTGCAAACAAGTGTCAAAATCGATTGTGTTTTCAAGTTTTACCAAAATAAATGAAACTGCTCAGGAGACCTGCATATTGAATGGAGAAAGTCTTGTTGGTGAAAATCTATGCAACATGATAAACCATTCTTGATCTCTCTGTGATGAAATATGTACTGTGTTCTCTTTTAAAAACCCTTCCTGAAAGTCTGCTTTAGTCATTTAATTTAGCAGAATAGTTAATTATATAATATTGCATCTGAAGAATCCTTTTTTCAGGGTTTATTGACTTATTTATTTATTTATACCTTCAACTTCTACCCCGCTCGAACCCCCCCTCCCTTGGGTCTCTGAGCGGCTTACATCGTTTGTATTATCCCTATCTATGGGCACATATATATATCGTATTAGGGCGGGACTACCTAGCGGCACCCGGTGGGATTCAGTTGATGTGTCTTCGGCTCGGCTCTCGGCTCGGCTTCTTCCCTCCGACTTAAAACAAAAAAGCAAAGCAGCTGCTAACGTAAACCAGGTGAAAAGAAACAGTTGAATAGTAGCCAAAAGGTGTCCAATTATCTAAGTTTTCCATCTCTCCTTGAAAGACAGGGCCTGTGTGACCAATTTCCTATACAGATAGCATTTCCATATAGGAAAAAGTGCTTGCAGACCTTTTTATGTGATAAATAAACCCATGTGTATGTCACTGCATGCACAAATGCTGGAAGCCACAATTTCCCTGAGGAATATAATTTATGTAAGAAATTTCTTGAGTTGGATTCTGTGAATTCATTCTGCTGCTGATGGTTTTATTCTTCATGTGTAGGGAGCTTTCTGTTAATGCAAGAAGCTTAGTTGTGGATCCATTCCCTCATTTTTGAAATTACTAGTTTAATTTAACTGGGTATAAATTAGAAGAGTTGGATTTATACCCTGCCCTTCACTCAGAGTGGCTTACAATCTGCTTCCCTTCCTCTCCCCACAACAGACACCCTGTGAGGTAGGTGGGGCTGAGAAAGCTCTGAGAGAACTGTGACTGGCTGAAGGTCCCCCAGCTGGCTACATGTGGAGGAATGGGGAGTCAAACCTGGTTCTTCAGATTAGAGTCTGCCGCTCTTAACCACTACACCAAACTGGCTCTCTTACCATGATTTGGGGCATTTCAAGAAAGAAAAGCAGTTACTCAGCAACTAATTAAATTGTGGAATTTGCTGCCAGTGTATAGCCATGACTGTGGAAGGATTTAAAAGAAGATTATACAGATTCATGGAAGAGAGGTCCATTAATGGCTACTAGCTATGGTTTATTATACAGAAGAAAGTGTCAGAGAAAGGCCTTGGCCATTATGCCCTATTTGTTAGTTCTCCAGGGCAACTGATTAGCTGCCGTGTGAAACAGAATTCTTGACTAGATGGACCATTAAGAAGGATTATAGTCATAATATAGATTGAATCATTAGAGCATGTTAAGTGTTTTATGATGGAGACGAAAAAAGAGTTCATATTTTAATAACTTCTTGCATCTATACATATATGGAAGCCTAGATCACCAAGTTGGAGTTTTTCCAAGCTGCTGTTTACTCCAGTAATATAAAACATTGACTAGTATGAAAACAGCAAAATGTGAGCTTCAATATTGTAGAAGAAGAAGAGAAGAAAAGAGATTGGATTTATACCCCACCCTTCACTCGGAGTCTCAGAGCGGCTTACAAACTCCTTTCCCTTCCCCTCCCCACAACAGACACCCTGTGAGGTAGGTGGGGCTGAGAGAGCTCTGACAAAAACTGCTCTTTCAAGGACAGCTCTTGTCAGAACTATGGCTTGCCCAAGGTCATCCAGCAGCTGCAAGTGGAGTAGTGGAGAATCAAACCCGATTCTCCCAGATTAGAGTCCACACACTTAACCACTACACCATAATAATTCTCTGAAAAGAAAGTCTGACTCCTTTGCTTTGTTATTGTATAGGTTTGTAATCATAATTTTAATTCAGTTGACACTGTAGTAAAAGAAAATTGTCAATCTTTGAATATTTAGAGGCATAAACATAGAAATATGTATTTGTGCCCTTATAATTCTTTGGGCTTAGATCCATGTAATAGGTTAAACTTAACTGTACACAAGCAATGAATTCTGTGGGGGTAAGGGAAACCACCAGAACCTAGAGGAGATATTTGTAATGGGAGTTCCTAAAGAATAGTTACTGGTAATCCCATTGTCACAAGTGAATTTTGTCAGTCAAATTACCCCTACATAATTTCATTCTGAAAATAGTGAAAGCTGGTTAGGTTGCATCTGGATGGTCTGCTCACCAAAATATTGTTTTGTTAAAAAGAAAAAAGGATCATAGCTATGCTATTTCAAATGGGGTCAGTTTTCAGTTGTCTTTTCTCTTCTGTAGGTGAAATGAGGAATGATTTATATATCACAATAGAAAGAGGAGAGTTTGAGAAAGGAGGGAAAAGTGTGGCAAGAAACGTGGAAGTAACAATGTTCATTGTGGATAACACTGGTCAAATTTTAAAGGTAAGTCTCGTGCAACCTTTGCTCTGACCTTTCCCATGGTATATTTTGTTATATATGGTAACCTCCCATGGATTGGGACTACTCAGAAGTTATATCCCAATCACTACATGTGCTCCAGTTACATGGAGACAATTCCGTACATTAGTTATTTGTGTGGTATAATAACAAAACAAACAAAAATGTTGAGGGAGATGTTGGAAAGCAGGAGAGATGTTGGAAACTCTATGACTGGATCTCCACTTTCTTGTACTGCATGTTTTACTGCTAAACTGCCATATGCACACCATTTGGCTCGGGAGTAGGAGTGTGCAAAAAATATGGGACTTTTTTGGGTTCCAGTGTATTGGACCAAAAAAATATTGGTGTTTCCTGATATTCCTATCCAGTATGGTATTCAGATCTGGGATTTTTCATGTTTCCCGATTTTTTCCAGATCTATTATACCTTATGGGGATCCTTATATACCTATGGGTATAATGGGGATTGACCAGGGGTGTTTTTTTAGATCGAGGAACCAAATTTGCAGCATTACTGCCGGTGCCTCTTCTTAAAAGAACCCTCAAGTTTAAAAAATATTTCACCAGGGGGTCCAGTTCTATGGACCCCCAAACAATGGAAACATCCTCCATTGTTTCCAGTGCAGGGCGGAAGGCATTTAAAGGGATAGTGGTCCCTTTAAACACCCTCTGCAAGCTGGGAGTTAACTCCGAAGGTGTTTAAAAGGACCGAGAGTCCTTTAAATGCATTTTTACTGCGACTGTCTGTCATTCCTGGATAATCCTGAATATTTTCAGGATTATCTGGTAATGGCTATATCGGGCAACCAAAAATAAACTCTTATCCATATTCAGCTGGGAAAATACCCCAAAAATACCAATAGAGTTGGAGGTTTTTTGTATTTTGGGGGCTTGGATACAGCCAAATGCACGTCCCTACTCAGGAGCTAACTATGAACAAAAGGGACCTAATTTCCCTTGTACCATTTCCTAACTTCAACACACACACACCCCAAATATCTGCTGTGTTTGTCATTGGTTTATTCCTACCAGGACCTGCAACAGTGGAGTGACTGCATGCTCCATCTAGCTCCCTAGCAAGCCAAGTTTTAACTTGATTATAAGTACACTGGTGGTAGGACATGCTGCTTCCCATCTTAAGTGGTTTATTGAAGTATGGCAGCCAGGCTTTGCATCTTTGCAGAATGATCGAGTGTGACTGAATTTTGTGTTTTCTGTTTCTTATCCGATACAGAAACTTTAAATCAGGTTCAAGATGTGCAGAACCTAAATTTACAGTTCAGTTCTATGTAAAGCTTCTCTAGTCTAAACTTATTGATTTCAGAGGCTTAGACTAGAGTATCTCTGCGTAGGTTGCATTTTTAAATCCTTGATGTCTTCTTTCATATGGATGTAGGAGAGCCTAAGTCAATAAGGCTGCAAAAGAATTTCATCCTATAATAAGGCAGAACAATAGGGTTGCCAACCCCCCTGGTTTGCCAGGGGTCCCCCATTTTGGGGGGGGTTCTACCCACCCGCCAGCCATCTGGCCGGCGGGGGAAGCCCAACACCCACACCCACCCCTCTTTCTCCCTTTAAGTGTGTGGAACCTGTGTTTCCTCCCAGGCCTGCATCCCAAGCGCGAACTCCGCAAGCTTGCAGGGAAAAGCCAGCTTCGTTCTTAAAAGGGAAACGCAGCTGCTCTTAAAGGGGAAACGCCGGCTGCCGGCTACTTTAAGTGCAGGGAACTGCCGTTTCTGGAGATCCGGCGCACAGGCGGGTGGGGGGGGGGGCAGACGGCCCCAACTTGACGTCATCATGTTGGGGATGCCCCACCCCCTCCAGGAACGCCCCCAAAGTCCCCCGCTGGGGGTGGAAGATGGACTTGGCAACCCTACAGAACAAGGATAGACTACTGGGCTGCTGGTCCTTGTTTGACCTAGGCCCAGGGATAGGAAAGCTTCTGGAAAAGCAAACGTGGTCAGTTTTCAAGGATTCAAATAGTCCTGAACCTGGAACATAAGGAAAGTCAACTCAGAATTAAGCTCAAGATCCACTGTCCAGGTCTGGTCAAAGGACTACAGAGAGACCAACTGCAATAGAAGTATCTGAAGTACAAGAACTCAGAGTAGGTCTGACTTCTAAAAATTATTCCATTTCATGATTGCTCATGAGTCTGAGCAACTAGCTGATCAGTTCCTACTGTTCCTTGTGCTGCCGTGGCCAGCTTCTAACAACACAATGAGTGTAAGGGTGTCATGGAAGAGTTGACATATCCCATAGCTTCTGTTGTCACAGTTTGGGAGCTGTGGTTCCAGAATAATATGTGATAACCTATTTGTTTGGGTTTTTTAAAAAAAAAACTCCAATATTTTTTTTTAAAGGATTTCATCTCCTTTGGCTCTGGAGAACCACTAGCTACTGAATTCCACTCCTTTGTGTTGTACCACAATAACAGTCCCCGGTGGGCTGAGCTGCTGAAACTTCCTATTCCTGTGGATAAATTCAGGGGAGCACACCTTCGTTTTGAATTCCGGCACTGTTCCAGTAAGACCTATTTTAATCAATTGTAATGTTTTGTTGGTTGTGTTGAGCAATTTCATGGAGGCTTTTTCAAATGTCTTTCATGCATACTGGGTTATAAATGGGTTTCTAGTACAGTGATACTCCATGAGTCATGGAGAGCCACATTGCTTCCACATCTGGCAAGAGGCCTACACTTCAGGGAATCTCACAGTTCTTCTGGCAGCTGTTTCAAGGTGGGAACCATCTGTGACCCATAAGCCCCACATTCCCATTTTCCTGAAATATGGGACAGGTACCATATTGGGTAACAGTGCTCAGAAGAGCCACAGGTAGTGTCTCAAAGAGACACACATGACTTCTGAGCCACTGAGTATCACTATTCTAATTCTTATAATCTATTGGGGTGTGTAGATCTCATTCCTACAACATAATGCAAGCACTAGCTATCCACTGGCAATACCAGATTTGCCATAGCACCATCCTGTGAAAGAACAGAAATGACTGTACATCCATAGCTGTACATTCAGTGTATGCCTTTAATGCTGAATGATGGCAATAATTGTGTGTTGTTATTTTTAATGACACTATTGTGGTTTTTTCAATAGTTATCCTTTTGATATTTAATTTTTGATATCTTCGTGATGTTTGAAAGCAAGTGACTACTCTGCCACTAAGAAAGAATAAAACTGAAAACACAGGGTTGGATCCAGACAAAATTGTCTGTCAGCAAAACAGAACTTTTTCTTGCATCCCCCTCACAGTGCAGTCTACTGATTACAAAATGATGCTGTTGGATAACAGGGGACCCTGAAGAATGATATGAGGGGGGTGTCAGTAGAAGTTACTACTTTTGTCTGGATCCAACCCATTGTATGGAAAACCAAAACCAAAATGGTGGCATTCTAAGGTAGCATGTGTTGGGAAAGACCCTTTTCTGCCAGAGGCCCTGGAGATCCATTGCTTCAGAGTAGGAAATACTGGACTAGATGGACTAATGCTCTGATGGTATGAGGTAGCTTCCTATGTTCAACATATTTTATTCCACGTGTTATGAGTTAGGTGCAAAAAAGAAAGCATAGCAGAGGAGTAGCTGGAAATGTGTGAGAGTTCTACCTTTCACTTCCCTTTCCCTTCACTATGTGCACTCTGTGCATTCTTTTTAGATTTAAGTATTAAGGTAGGATCTGTCTCTTTATTGATGTATGTCACTTTGAAAGAGAATTGTTGAGAAACTGGGGTATAAATTTGCAAGAGATACATTTATTTTTTCTTCAAAATAGAGGTACATGTTTTTGAAGAGATGTCATGGATTTACTATAACAATAGTGAATGCTATGTGTGGTGTCCCCTCTGGTGAAACTTCCTTATGCTGCAATATGCAGAAAAGTGATACACTGCCAAAGGTTAGAGTGATCATCAGGACAAGAAACTTGTATCATCAGTGTGTTTGAATAAATTTTATGATCTGAATTTGTTTTAGTCTCTGATTTGTTAGGATATAGGTACCATGGGCCATTGTATCCTTAAATATGAAATATTCATGGAAAGCATTTATCTTATGAGCTTAGCACCCAGGTCTTAAGCAGACATTAGATTATGTGGAAGAAAAAAATATTTTCTTCCATGGCAAATATTTTCAGAATCATGATGCAAGTTTTTCTAAATTGAGTCATTCTATAATCTAGATGTGTTTCATTAAGTATGTAAATACAAACATGCATGACCTAAATGGCTGTTAACTTAGGGACAGTACATAAGCGACAGCCATCACAGGGAAGTGGCTAAAAATGGCTTCCTCCTTGATTAGTGAGGCCTGCCCTGACCATAAGTAGGAATGCCAACCCAATGCTGGCAACTGGCAGGAGACTGAGGGTTGGAGGCCTAAATAAATGGTGCTTCTACAATGTTACTTCCAGATGTGTAACCAGAAGTGATGGTACTGTGCCATGTGATGCTGTAGGATTTCCCCAAAACTCTATAGTAAAAACCATAGATAACAGGGAAATTCATAGAGTGTGATGTGACATGGTAATATCACTTCCAGGATTGCCTGATGCCACACACCCCCTCTCCCCCTGCAACTTCATTGAATACCAGGAGGGGATGGGGAGTGCTACCAGGCATCTGGCAATCCTAGCCATAAGAGAGACAACTTTGTTGCCTAGATCTATTAACATAATGGCCAGTTCTGCTCAATGTCCCTGGCAGTCCCTGGCAAGTGTCATTGAAATCTCTGGAACTCAAGTCAGTCATGACAAATTCATGGTCCTTTGCTTTTCATGGTCCTCTATAGTAGCTAACTTTTGCTGGATTGTAATCCATAAATAGTTCTTTGTATGCTATGGCTAAGATTAGGGATCCCTTACCACAAGAAAGCCACACTTGGCTTCTGAGACATGTGATGTGGCTTTCAGATGCAAATTGGTGATGTGTACCTGTCACTTTCATTGAACATATGCATTGCAATTTCCACAGCCTGAACTGTGGTCTATTTTTAATTTATATATATGTTTCAGCAAAAGAAAAGGGGGAGAAGAAGTTGTTTGGTTTTTCTTTCGCCCCTTTGATGCAGGAAAATGGAAGGACGCTGCCAGATGGCACTCATGAGCTCATTGTGCACAAGGTAATTTCAAGTGTGTGTGTGTGTGTGTGTGTGTGAGAGAGAGAGAGAGAGAGAGAGAGAGAGAGAGAGAGAGAGAGAAAATGAGAGAGAGAGTTTAGCTAGAAACATACTTGAATTGCCCAGGACTGCCCTTAGATTTAGGCAGATTGAAATGGCTGCCAAAAGATTGCTAGGTTTGTCACAGTATAAAATTCCTTTTTGTTATAACTGACCAAAACAGGGGAGAAAAGCACAACCTTACACAAGAAAGGTAACCAAAATGTTGAGACAAAGAAAAAGAAATTAAAATATAGCTATGCACGTAGTGCTAATGTGCAAAATATCATATGTAATTTAATTATACATTCAAAAGTGTGTCTGATGGACTTGGGTGCTTTTTGGATTGAGGAGTGCAAGCAGGCTGATGCAATTTCCCTCTGCCAGGTGCTGCTGATTACCTCTGTGTCATCATTTTTTCCCTCTCTTCTGTTGCATCACATTTTCCCCATCCCCACCTTTTCCAAAAAATGGAGGAGTGGAACTACCATAGTACAGATTTTTTTCTAATTGTACCTGAGCATTCCATGGGAGCTTTGAGCATTGCAGATTGGGCCTTAGTAGGTTAATAACTGGAGAGCCAGTTTGATGTAGTGGTTAAGTGCACGGACTGGACTCTAATCTGGGAGAACCGGGTTTGATTCCCCACTCCTCCACTTGCACCTGGCTGGATGACCTTGGGCAAGCCATAGTTCTGATAAGAGCTGTTCTTGAAAAAGAGCAGTGTCTGTCAGAGCTCTCTCAGCCCCACCTACCTCACAGGGTGTCTGTTGTGGGGAGGGGAAGGGAAAGGAGTTTGTAAGCCGCTCTGAGACTCCCTTGGGTAGTGAAGGGCGGGATATAAATCCAATTTCCTCTTCTTCTCTTCTAATATTGCATCATTTAGGGTCCTCCCCCCCAGTTAGCTACATTCCCTTTTTCTAAAATTTAGGAGACTTTTTAATTTGCAGCTGTTTAGTCTTATGCTTTATGTGTATTTTAGATCCATGGGCATATGAAATATTGTACATCTTGATGATTTGCCCATGTTGCATCTCAAGAATATTTATCACCACTTACTCCACGAGTGAAGATTTCAGTGTGAGTAAGGTAGTTATCCCAGTTCCATATATTTAATTTTTTAAAATTTATCCAGTTATTTTATCCATTTTGTGTGTGATGAGTTTTGTGTATATTTTTGTTACAATTATGAAGTGCTCAGTCTGAATTTTACTACTGAGGAAGGCTTCTAGCCACAATGCATTTGGCATTGGTTCTTGTATATGGATATAATTTGTATCTTTTAACCTGTCTTTATATGATTCAACATTTGTCTTGATATTAGGATTAGGTACTTATCTACAAAACCATAGGATTGTGTTTTTAAATGATATTTTAGCATTTTTGAATGTATAATTAAATTATATATGATATTTTGCACATTAGCACCACATGTGTAGCTATATTTTAGTTTCTTCTGCCTTTTCAACATAACCTTTAAGATTTATGGTGTTGGTTTACAGCTACAGTTAAATCTTGTATATGTTTTAGTGCAATGCTTTTTTTGAGTAATCATCCCATTGGATGGCTGCTATGTTTTCTTAATAGGCTGCATCTAAGTAATGCGCTAGAATGGTGCTAAATCCACATTTCTAAGAAGTCTGTTCATCTCTCTCATATTGACTCACTTTATCACACACAAAGCTACAATGAATTGGATCCATCCAGCTTTTTTACTTAATCTCATCCAATACCCCTTCTTACTACATCCCTGTTCCCCATAGGGTTGCCAAATGAAAAAATCCTACCGGCGAGGGAGCATCCTGCTGCTCCGGGAGCCGGTCGGAAACGTGCACATGCGCTTTATGCGCGCGCGCCGCCGGAGCATCACCGGAAGTGACGTCACACGCTGGGCGGGGCCACGCCATTTGAAGGGAAAACTCTTTGTTTTCCCCTCAAATGGCGTGGCCCCGCCCCCAGCGTGCGATGTCACTTCCGGTGACGTGCACGCTGGGGCAGGGTTCCCCCCGGGCCCTGATTCCCTGGCGTCGGGGAACGGAGCCTCCGGGGCGGGGGATTTCCGCCCTACCGGGGGAGTTGACAGCCCTAGTTCCCCATGACTTTTGTCCCATGGTTCCCATGATTGGTTGAATGCAGTTCAATGTTTTCTCCATTTGGCTCCTGTCTGTGTCCAGAATATGCCTCATGCCAACCTATGTGTTCCTTTCCCAAAGGCTGACACGCATAGATCCACATATGCCTGCACACAGATAAATTTCTTTTGTTGTTGAGTGTGTACCAGGGGCTATACTCCACTGGGCAGAAGCCAGCTTTGTGGAAACCCAGATAATTAGTCTAAACTGACTGATGGCAGAAAATTATTAACAAATAATAGCTTAGGTCTCCCTCAGTCTCTGCCCATCAACGATAATCTTCACCTTCCAACCAATGCTGCCTCTAAGCTGTGGAGTCCTGTGAGCAAAAATTCTGCTTTGTGAACTACTGGCATTAAAGTTGTGAGTGCACGATTTGGCTACTGCATAAATTAGTTTGCTCTGGAGCTATCCTTCCTGAGTGAAGACAAAAATATGTGAGCTGGAGACTAAAAAACTGTGAGCTAGCTCACACTAACTCAGCTTAGAGGGACCACTGCTTCCAACTAATTCAGTACTGCTCAGGTGCTATGGTAGGTGGCAGGATTTTGGCCTGCCCTTCTCCTCAGTACCTTACAGTAGGTCTGCAGTGTTCCCTGTCCACCTGTGTCTCTGCTGGGTTCTCTGAGACTCTCCTGTCAGATGCTGTGAGTTGCTGTCACCTTTGAGAAGTAGGGTTGCCAGCTCTGGGTTGGAAAATACCTGGAGATTTTGGGGGTGGGACCTGTAGAGGGCAGGGTTTGGGGAGGGGAGTCACCTCAGCAGGGTATAATGCCATAATGTACACCCTCCAAAGCAAGCCATTTTCTCCAGGGTACCTGATCTCTGTTGTCTGGAGATCAATTGTAACAGGAGGAGATCTTCAGGTGTTACCTGGAGGTTGGAAATCCTGTTGAGAAGACTGATCTTGCTTGCATACTGTGCTCAGTCACAACACCCACTTGTGGAATCTCTCTTCTGAGCATTCTCCTTTACCAAATTGCTGCTACTGCCTAGCAACTACCAATGTATTTTCACCATGTGGCTCCTCTTCATGTACTAAATATAACTCATATCAACCTGGCACGCTTAGTAGATGTGACAGTAAATCTGTGTGAGAGACCAAAAAGGGAGAAAAATCAAAATATTCTCAAAATAAATTATGGCTCAGTATATCTTACATACTTTCTATATGGGCCGCATACATAGAGATAGAAAGTAAAATGTGACATGAAAATCTAGAGGAGCTGTACAAATCTTTTTGTTGTATTAGTATAGATTAGTAAAGTTCTCAGAACACTTGTTTGAACTCTTCCTTTTTTCCCAAATAGACTGGTGGCTTGGATTTAGCAGGTATCAGTTACATTCTAGTGTCTGATCTTATTGCTTTATGCCTTCCATAAACTGAATATAGCATCTTAAAGTTAGGCTGTTTGTTCTGAGTAATCCTTCAAACTGAAGGATTTACTGAAAACTTTTAAAAGGCATTTGAAAACACAGTTTAGGGCTTCCACAGCTGTGGAAAAACTTTCTGTAGGAATGTACTATAGCTTATTGTATACTTTAAAATGAAGAACACACTAGATGGGACAGTTTGATGTTGTGTTTTATTTCAGTCGTTATGTCCTGAGTTGCAAATGTAATTTGTTCTCTCAGTGTGAAGAAAATGTAAGTCTTCAGGATACCAGTCGCTACCTCAAATTTCCTTTTTCGAAGGGACACCTCCTTGGGAACAACCATCCTGCAGTAAAAACAACTAAGGAGTCCTTCTGGATTACATCTTTCCTGTGTTCAACTAAGCTCACACAAAATGGTAGTGTGCTTCTCATTAATCTACTGTATCATTAGTGTAAGGTTGGGTATATTAATATAAATTTAAGACTTTTCTTGTAAGGGTTTCTGAGAAATTATCAAATAAAATGGACACAACTAATACCAAATAAATATATCTTTAAACTAGTAAAGGATTTCTGAGAACTGCAAAGCTTTCAAAGCTGAACTAAAACTGTCATTGGTCTCATACATTCTTAGGGTTGCCAAATGACCCCGGGGGGCGGGGAATCCCCCGCTTCGGAGCCCCGAGTTCCGCTCTGGCGGAATCGGGGCCCGGGGGAACCCCGCCCCCAAAGCTGCGTCACCAGAGGTGACGCAGCCACGTTGCTGACGTTTGGGGCGTGGCTGAGCTCGGTGGGGGGGAAAACCATATGTTTCCCCCCCGATGAGCTCGGCCATGCCCCCAACGTCAGCAACGTCTGACGTCACTTCCGGTGACGTCGCGGCGGCGTGCACGCGCGCACAGTCGGCTCCCGGACAGGACGGAGCCTCCCCCGCCGGTAAGCTTTCTGGATTTGGCAACCCTATACATTCTTAAAGAATAATATTACAATATTACTATACGGTAAGCAACTACTCCTGGAATTGGTCTGTCTGCATTTTTGGTTTTTGGTTTTCATTTTTAACTATGTGATTTTTAAAAAAGTCCTCTTAATTTGTTTGTTTTACAACTATTTTTAGGGAAGTTTTTTTAAGGGAAACAATCTCACTAAAAGAATTAGTTCTAAATATTGGGACTATTAAGAGGGCCACACTTTTAATAGATAGGGGTAGGGTTACCAACCTCAAGGTGGGATGTGGAGTTCTCCAGAATTATAACTGATCTCCATAATACAGAGATCAATTTTCCTAAATTAAATGACAATTTTAGAGGATGAATTGTATGGCAGGGGGTGTTGAACTCATTTGTTTTAAGGGCCGGATCTGACATAAATGGGACTTTGTGGGGCCAGGCCATGCGTGTCATAAAATGTAATGCCAGGTAGCAGAGCTATAAACTGTATTAAAGATACAAACACAACTAAAGATATTATTTTTTTACTTAAAATACAAATATACTTAAAACTCTTGCAATATTTTGTTTATTTAAATATCTTTAATATCCAACACCTTCCAAACCTCCCCCCCCCTTAAAAGATGCCTGCCAAAAAAGGAAAGGTGGGGGAATAGTGGGATTTGTCAATGCAATTATAAAAATAAAACATCAAGAAAAAGCACAAGGATCACAGCAGAAACTAAACTATATACTAAAAATATAAAATGCTCTGAGCCTAGGAACATAAAATGGTTGGGCATTGCAAGCTTCTCCCTTCTCCCCCAGGTCTACTCAAAGTAGCAGTGACTCTCTGGTGTAATGTCCCCCTTTGGCTGTGGGTTCCCAGGTTAGAGTTATCACTCAAGACACCTGTTCTCAGGTCCATTCAGCAGAGACAAGCTGGCTCAAAACATCAACCCTGTATTTGCAAGGAGACAACTCGGTCAAGCAGCTTCAGCTATACAAACACTGGAAAGTGAAACTACTTGAGCTCCACTCCTTTAAAATACATGGCACCACAGCACAGACAAACTTGCAAAGAAAATGCAGAATGGATTTCCCCATTAAGGTCTCTGGGACAGGAATGACAGCCACCAGAGTGAAATGACAGTCCCTGGGAGTAGCAGAAGCATTGTGGGATTGGAATAAGGGCTCCAAGAGTGGAATTCCATTCCCAGAATGCCACTGCTACTCCCAGGGGCTGTCATTCCACTCTGCGCCCTGTCATTCCAGTTTCAGAGCACTGTTTCCAGTGTAGTCTGTCTGGGTGCAACCTTAATGGAAAAATCCATTCTCCATTTTCTGTGTAACTTTCCAAGCCCAGAAGAGCTGCCTGCTGAAGCCGGCAAAGACAAGATGGAGGGAGCTGGGAACTTTGGCAGCCTCAAGCTTCAAAGGGTGAGGACAGGAGGGGGGAGGAAAAGAGCTGCAACCTGATTAAAGCCATGGGCGGGCCACTTCTGACCCACAGGCCTTAGGTTTGACACCTCTCTTCTATGGTATACAGTAGAGTCTAGGGAAAAAGGAAGTTGTAGAGCAGGGTTCTCCAATCTGCTTGAACCTGTGGGCACTTTTCTGACACAGGGTGGTGGGCTCAACTACAAAATGGCTGCCATAGAAGGTGGAGGCAACCAAAAATGTCAGGAAACGAGTTTATGCATAACTCTTAATAGTATCTCTTCAACATTTCATTCAGAAGCACTGCTTAACATGGTGCCTTTTAAAATGAAGATGTTTAAAATAATTTTCTTGCTTATACACAGCTTATATTCAGTCAAGCAGTGAAGATCCTTGTGCTCTGATGGTGACTGCTGCAGAAGGAAGTGTTGTTTTTAAAAAATCTGCACAGACTTCTGGTGGTCAATCAGATGCTCTGCTGGGCAAAAACTCCCCTTCCATCCCCACATTTTCTAACAAAAAAATTGGTGGATGCTATGAAAGGTGCACCGCATCCCCCCTTCCATACATTTATTACTTTTATTATTTGCTATCCCTTCAACCACAGGTTGGTAGGATTTGGAAAAAAAGAAAAACAGATCAATGGATAATAGAGTATTCCAACTATTTAAAAACATGTTCAAGAAATTTAGCAGCAGCTTCCAGCCAGTCACTAGAAAACAACACAATGTCAGAATCAACAAAAACTCCCAGTATATTGCGCCTGGTTTCAGCAAACAAGGAACTATGTAACAACACACGTGAAACAGTTTGTGTTACCTCAGAAGCACAAGAACATTTTCTTTCTGTGCAGGGTATAGCTTTAAGTCTTCAAAAATATAGGGCTGCTGGAATTGCATCTTGCTAATGAAATTAAACATCTAAATTCAGGGTTTTGCATAGTGATCAAATAGTTGACAGCCATAGAACAAGTAGTGGGAATATACCCATAATCCAGAGGAGAACACTTCCTATACAAATTGGTAAGCAGCCCAAACCAGTCTTGGCATAAAATAGGTTTCCATATTGTGTTCAGGAAGCAATCAGAGTAATAATTAAATTGTCATCCATCGAAATTTCCAGCTCACACAGTTTACCAAGAAAAGCATTAAGGCTTGATGATAAGAATGAGTCTGGCTTCATAAGACGTAGTAATTGACTAGGAGGTTCTGGCAATAATATTTTTAACCGTATCTTGATAGCATATTTCCATGTAATTGATTGTAGGCAACACAATCCCATTTCTAATCTAATGATCGAACTGGAGACGCAATTGGAAATTCCCAGTATAGTTCAGGGGAAAAATTCTTTGCAATTTCTCATGATCTTTAATAATCACATGCCGCCATAACTGAGCCCCATACAAGGTTGCAGGTAAACTTTGTATGGTAAACCATGGGCACCATGTTGGTAACATCTGTCCTTGAGTGATAGCCAGCATGGTGTATTGGTTAAATGTTGGACTAGGATCTTGGAAATTCAGGTTCAAATTCCCAGTCATACCATGGAACCTGGCTGGGTGACCTTGGGCCAGTAACACATTGTCAGCATAACCTACGTAACAGGGTTGTTGTGAGTATATATTAGAGGAGAGGAGAATGGTGAAAGCTGCTTTGGGTCCCCATTGGGATGGAAGGCAGGATATAAATAAAGTAAATAAATTAATAAACTTCCACACTGAGCTCTCTCCCCTAACCAAACTTCATTGTCCTCAGGTACCACTCCCAAATGTTCAAGAATGTCCCAAGCAATTCCTATGTGTAACATTATCACATAGTTTAAACAAAAACATTTTTTAGAAATGACACAGCCAGCTAAGTCCCTAAAAATAACTCATTTCAATGGAGGAAGATTTAGGTTGACAGCAAGTGACTGAGCCAAAGGCACCCAGAGAGCTTTAGAGCCAAATGGAGATTTGAACGCAGGACTTCCCCTCTAATAAGTACACTGTATTAGCTCTTAGTGCTCTGCAATAATACAAAGATTTAAAATTGTAAGAAAAACTGTAAATAAGTCTCTTTGCATCCAGGAAATGTTATAGTAGGTCAACCTAATAGGGGTGTGCGCTTGGTATAAACTGAGCCAAAAAAATACCTGATCAATGGAGGGGGGGGGAACATTTAAAAGGAACATGGTCCCTTTAAAGGCCTTCTCCAAGCCATGAGTGAACTCCAGAGCAGCGAAACAATGTTTGAGTTCAGTGACGCCTTTAAGACCAACACAGTTTTATTTGAGGTATGAGCTTTTGTGCGCACTTATGCTTCGGAGAGGCACCAGAAGCTTCGGAGTTTTGAAAAGTTGGGGGGGGGGGGTTTGAGAGGCACCAGCAGCTATACTGCATAATGGAGAATTGGGGCTTTGGGTGTGTGTGTTTTTTGAGGTAGAGGCACCAGCAGCTATGCTGTATATTTGGTGCCTCTACCTCAAAAAACACCCCCCCAGAGCCCCAATTCTCCATTAGAGCCTATGGGGACCATTGACTATAATGGTCCCCACAAGATGTAATGGAGCAAAAAGGGGGGGAGGCAATCCCCAATATTTCCCAAATCCCAGTACCATATCAATTAAGTACCATACTATTGAAGTTTCTGGAGCTTAACAGCAGTTAAATGCTAAAATACCACTGAATTCAATGGCATTTTGGTGTGCCAAATGATGGACCCCTAGCACTTACCGACTATCAGGCAGGTTTTCCCACCAAAAATTTGTCCCCAGCTGTGACTGAACAGCCCCAAGTAGCTTGGATTTACTTATGGTTTTAAAAGTCTTGTCTGTCCCACTGCGTCATGAAGATCTAATTTGTCTTTTAGCCCAGCCCAGGAACTTGATGAGATAAGCAGGAACCCTCTTGTTTTTTTCTTTTAAATGGCACTTGAGATGGTGTAACATTCAAACAGAAATAACAATTTTATTTAACAGTCAAGAATTGAATAGGTGTAGTCAGGGATCGGAAATGCTGAGGTAAAAATTGTTGTTGAGAGCCAATTTGGTGTAGTGGTTAAGAGTAGCGAACTCTAATCTGGAGAACCGGGTTTGATTCCCCACTCCTCCACATACAGACAGCTGGGTGACCTTGGGTCAGTCACAGTTCTTTCAGAGCTCTCTCAGCCCCACCTACCTCACAGGGTATCTGTTGTGAGGAGAGAAAGGAGATTGTAAACCGCTCTGAGTCTCCTGAGTGGAGACCGGGGTATAAATCCAATTCCTCCTTCTCTTCCTCCTCCTCCTTCTCTTCTTGAATATCTCAGATTTGTTAGGGCCTCTACCTAATAGCCACTTTTGCCATCTTTTTTTTTTTTTCTTGGTAGGGGACATGCTTGACCTTCTCAAATGGAGAACCCATCCAGAAAAAATAGCCGGTTGCCTCTCAAAACTGAAAGAAATAGATGGCTCGGAAATAGTAAAGGTACAGACCCCTTTTCATTGTTTACTCTTTCTCTCATTTTTGCTTTGGGAAATAATTTCTGCACCATATTCATGTAAATATTTTTTGCATTCCTTTACCCTTACCTAGTTTCTCCAAGATACCCTAGACACTTTATTTGGGATTTTGGATGAGAATTCTCAAAAGTATGGATCTCAAGTATTTGATTGTTTGGTAAGGTATATTTCGTAATCCTTATTTCAGGTTTGCTGCCCATCTTAAGGAGATGTTAAGAAACATTTATGTTGTTTTTCTTAGATTCACATAATAAATTTGCTGCAGGACAGCAAGTTTCATCATTTTAAGCCAGTTATGGACACCTACATTGAGAGTCATTTTGCTGGAGCTCTTGCATACAGGTAGAGTATACTGCAAAATGTTTTTACTTTCAACAATGATTGGTCATTTGATTGTAAAGGTAGATTGAATGTATTGATTAGTATCAAAATGATGGAAATTGATCCATTAAATTTATTTGCATTTAGTTGTGAAAAACAGCCCTGGACTCCATTAATTGCATGCATTGCATGCTATTTGCATGGTCTTCTGATATCGTCCTTTTACCACAGTGATCCGTGATTCATAAAATGAAAGGCAACAATGTAATCCTATGCAGAGTTACTCCAGTATGAGCACATTGATCTCAGTGGGTTTATATTGGAGTAGCTCTCCATAATATAGCAGCGCTGAGTAAGCTCTCACACAGAAATCTCTCTGACATTGTCTTTTTATTACCTGTACACTGTCAGTGGCCACAATCCTAAATATCCTTTGAGGCATGCATTGTTGCTTTGGCCGAGGCAGAATGGGTTTTTAAATTTTTGTACTACTGTTATGTCAACAACCATTGTAGAAACTCTCCAAGTTTCTAAAGTGTAAGTGGTGGAGAGGATTCCTGTTAAGGGGGAAAAGTAGGTAAATCTTCATGTGCAAACTAACTTGCGCCAATATTTTGCTCCATTTCCATTACAATACATCTGCTGGGAATAATGCAAATGTTCAAAACTTACTGGACATATTGACTTATCAACCCGACACTCATCCACAGAAATGAAACTGTTTTAATTATTCTTCCTTTCCCCCTAACTTCAGTTTTCTTTTTGGAATTGGGTATTTGTGGTGGTGGTGAGAGCCTACAATTAATCTTAGGCCTGTAACTGTGTACAGTAGTTTGGTGTATTGCTTAGAGAGTCAGACCAGGATCGGGGAGACCAGATTCAAATCCCCACTCTGCTGTGGAAACTCATGGGGACTGCCTGGAACTAAACTGTGTTTTATACACTAGAGACCTCATCAAAGTTTTCAAGTGGCATGTTGATCGAATAACAGAAGTGGAGAGGCAAACACACAACCAGGACGTATTAAAGGTAACCGAATTCAGCACATCTATTACCATTTTTTATAAAACCTATCTGGAAAACGGGGGGGGGAGGGGAATGACATGGAGGAAGCAAACTTCATCCTTTGATATACCCATGTTCAGTTAAAAAACTCGGCCTCTGCAGACATTACATTCCCGTTCCGTTCACACAAATTTGAACCTGCCAGCGGAGCACATCTTCAGTGCTGTGTAAAGTGGGCCATCTGTGGATTCTCCAAGCTGGATTTTTCCATTCTTCCTGTCACACAAATGAGAAGTCTGATCGTACAGGATTCCCTTCATTCACATTGTATGGCTTCAGTCCATGAAAAGCACAGTCTTCTTGTACAACATCTTAGTGTAAAGGTCTTATATACATAGTATTCTTTCCCCATGATTAGGGTCCTGATTGTATGGAGAGTTCCTGTATGCATTTATATATGCATAAGACCTTTACAGACCTTCAGGTAAATGCACATATGTTGGGAGTGGAGTTTTCTAACACAGTGCTGGCCCCCCACTTTCATATGTTCAGTCTCCTGGGATGTGTTGCATGAAGAGTGACTATTGTCACTTCATATATTTCTGTTAAAAAAACACTTATATGTTAAGATAGTCCACAGTACTGTGAGGTACAAGGGCATTTTCCTCCCCCCCTCCTAGCCCCTATGGACCCTCTGAAATAGTTGGTGGACTGCGACAGATAGTGTCTGCCCCCCACTTCTCTGGAGTGTTGTGTGGAAATGTCTCAACTCACTCAAAGAGAGCATTTGTGTTCAAGCCAATCAGTTCAGTTTATATACAGAATGGATTAATCACATTTGGGAAGCTAACCTATAGAAAATAATAGACTAAAGTAAATAAATCACAATGTCCAAGTGGTATTTTTAACTGTTTTAATAGCAATTATTGTGTGAGCATTTTTAACTCTCCCAAGTAAATTTTTATGCAGATCAGTTTATAAGCATTTGCTTAATTCCATGTAAGCTTTCTCTTGTTGACTAAACTACCCAGAATTGCCATTGCTTTCATCCCATAAGTATATATTATGATAGTGTAATAGGAACATGAAACATGGGGGGGGGGGAGAAGAAGGTATATTGGAGGAAAATATTATTTTTCTTGAGCCCAGTTCTAAAATTCAGACCCTGTCCCACTTCCAATGACACAGTAATACAGTGTTGCCCAAACCCCACCAATGAACACCCAGCCCTTTTATACCCATTTTCCCCCAATCCTCTTCCCTGCAAGAAGAGGGTGTTTCACTGAAAGCCTCCCTCTCTCCCTGCTGTGTTGAACATTCCCACTGAGGTGACCTACATGTCAGTAGCACTGGAAAATGTAGTTTTCCTAGGTAAATAAGAATTCTGGTGCCATGGGAGCAATTACCGGTCCCTGAAGACATGATGCTTGGGATGCTACAACAGGGCGCCTGGGAGCCTTTCCATCTCAGTGTACAGTCTGAGATGCATTTCAGATAGCATTACAAGATAGGTAATTACAAACTTCAGTAATATTGCTCACGATGATCTAATCTTGTATATTTGTGTTTTGACATTTGTAGGCACAAGAATATATATTTAAATATATAGTTCAGTCTCGAAAGTTGTTCTCTCTTGCTACTGGAGGACAAAACGAGGAAGAATTCTGCTGTTGTATTCAGGAGCTTCTGATGTCTGTGCGATTCTTCCTTTCGCAAGAAACCAAAGGGGCTACTGCTTTATCTCAGGCCCAAGTAAGTTGCTGCCTTGAGCTGTTACTTGCATGCTTCTGTATATGTGTTCCGTCATGTAGAAGGACATAACCTAATCTTTAACCAGTAAATCAATGCCTATAGCTTGTTTTCAGCTGTAATAATTGATAATATGCTTAACTATTTTCCATTAAGTTATTAATTGCAGGAGTTTAGTCAGAATATTGTCAAACTCCTTTGCTTCAAGGTTTTTTCCATATTTTATTGCTGCTATTATTATTATTATTATTATTACCACCACCACCACCACCAGCATTACTACTACTACTAAGTAGTTCTGCAAATGCTAGGGAAGAAGGGAAGAATTATTCCACATTAATCCCTTAGAAGTTACAAAACCATCCTTTGTTGGTCCTTGCCATTTTTCATTACCCTAGATCTGAAAAAAGGGGGAAAGCTAGAGTCCATCTACTTCCTCCTCCCACTGCGTCTCCAAGAAAATCTATCCATCCTTTCCTCTGTCCCCTGCTGTGCACTCCAATCTCCATACAAAGATGATCTGCAAAATGAAGGTTCAAGAAAGGTGCCTGCTAGGGGTGTGCAAGGAATTTTGGGGGGGTATTTTACCCATTTGGGTATATGAGACCCCAAAAATATCGGTAAATAACAAATTTCCCCAGTCCAATACCAGTAAAGTATTTGGATTGGGGAAATATTTGGTATTGCCAAATATGTTTGGGTCTGTTAGAGCCATGGGGAGGGAAGAGAGAAATATTAAAATGCCTTCCTTCCCTCCCCAAGCTGCCGCATTTTCACTGGTCAGTTTCTCTCCCCACCAGTCAGCTGTTACCTTTAGGCCATTTAAACCTAACAGCTGACAGGCAGATGGGAGTAAAACTGACCAGTGGAAGCCTCATCTCTCTGCCTTCCCTTCCCCAGCTGCCCCGCCATGGCAGGGCAGCTGGAGAAGGGAAGGCAGAGAGCCAAGGCATGTTTAAATGCCTTTCTTTCCCTCCCCCAGCCAGCTGCCAGTCTAGCCAAATAGGAAAAGATTATCACTCCTAGAAATAGGAGCAGCAGCAGGGAGACTCAGGGAGTGAAGGGAAGGCATGTAAACATTCCTGGGCTCTCTGCCTTCCCTTTTCCAGCTGCCCGGCAGTGGCAGGACAGCTGGAAAAGAAAAGGTGGAGAGCCTAGGCATGTTTAAATGCCTTTCTTTCCCTCCCTGAACTCAGAGAGGGAAAGAAAGGCATTTAAATATGCCTTCCTTCTCTGAGTCCCTCTCCAGCAGCGGGGAGGCTTGGGGAGTGAAGGAAAGGCCTGTAAGCATGCCGTGGCTCTCTGCTAGGCTGGTGTAGAGGTTAAGTGTGCAGACTCTAATCTGGGAGAACCAGGTTTGATTCCCCACTCCTCCACTTGCATCTGCTGGATGACCTTGGGCAAGCCATAGTTCTGCCAGAGGTGTTCTTGAAAAAAGAGCAGTTTCTGTCAGAGCTCTCGCAGCCCCACCTACCTCACAGGGTGTCTGTTGTGGGGAGGGTAAGAGAAAGGAGTTTGTAAGCCAGTCTGAGTCTATGAGTGAAGGGTGGGGTATAAATCCAATCTCCTCCTCCTCCTCCTCCTCTTCCTCCTCCTTCTCCAGCTGCCCTGCGACAGCAGGGTGGCTGGAGAAGAACAGGCAGAGAGCCTAGGCAGGTTTAAATGCCTTTCTTTCCCTCCCCAAACTTGGGGAAGGAAAGAAAGGCATTTAAACATGTCTGGGTTGTCTCTGCCTTCCTGCCCGGAGAGGCTCGGGGAGGCAAGGGAAGGCACTTCTCACATGTAAACTAATCAATGTAGCGCTGATCAGTTCATATAGAGAGGAAGCCATTTTAGCCCTCCTGACCTCCCCTGGTCAGGAGCGGGAAGTGTAAGAAGTGCTGAAATGCCTGCCAGGCAGGCATTTAAACCCAACTGTTGACTGGTGGCTCCACCTGTCAGCTGTTAGTTTTAAATGGCTACTAGGTTCAGTATAGCTGAATGAACCCGAATAAAATCCGGCTTTTTCAAGCTCAGCTAGGTAGCTGAATACATGATACCCGAAAAATACCGATCTAATTTATTGCAGTAAGAGCCAGTAAAACAGTACAATTCTAATATAAGAAGGATTAAAACAGTACTAACACGGGAATAGTATAAAAACATTAACAAGAGAAATTTAATAAAATTAGTAAAATAAAATAATGTTAATAAGAGAATCATACAATTTTTCAGCTAAAATAAGGTTATGTTTCCTAATAGCTAAGCAACAAAATTTTGCCACAGCGTAAGTCACTGAGCTCTGAACATCTTCTAAGAGGAATTTACGAAGGACTTCTGATCTCAAGTCAAGATAAGACTGCAGAGGGCTAAATCTAGACAAAAGGGGTGGTATAAGATGGTCTCGTTCCTTCTGATAGAATCTGCAGAACAGGAGGACATGAGTAATTGATTCCACCATATTAGCCATGCATGGGCATATATGTTCATGCATTGAAACTCGAGTAAATTTACCTTGCAGTACAGCGAAAGGGAGTGCCTCAAAATGGACTCTGGAAAAGGCCCATCTATAGGGTTCATAGATAATATTAACTAAATAAAGGGCAACAGTAAAATTAGGCCAAGATTTTATATTTCTGAAGTTCTTGGGTAGCAAAGCTTCTTCGTTTTGTGATTCAATATCAGCCGAAAAATACCAATTAGGTATTTTTCAGGTATAAAGGATACTCAGCTCTAAAAAGTATCAAATTTATGCTAGTTACAAATGCATGGCAGGCAACTTATTACCAGTATCTGATTTGCAAGTTGAGAACTTCCAGTAGATTCTCCATTGCAGTTATTGCCAAATGCACACCCCTAGTGCCTGCAGAAAAAATACCTTCAACTAACACAACAGCATCAGTCAGTCAAAACTCATGGAAACTCTCCAGACCTTTTCTGTATTTTCACCTGTGTGGTGTTGATGATGCAGTAGCCAGTTGTAATAATAGTCTGTGTATTTTTATTTGATTAAAAACCTGGGCTATTTTTGCAAAGGAGAGGAATGAAGAACTTTGAAAAATCTAATTAAAATCACCAATAGAGTTCTATCTGGAGCAGAACAGCACTTAGCTTTTTCCGTGTTCAGTCCTCAAAGGCATTCTTCATGCGAGCACTTATAGTCCTTAAATCTCTAATGGGGCCTAATATATTTGGGCAGGGTGACTGCAAGTGGTACCTCGTGTTGTGTTTTTGCAGTGTTGTAAGCTGTTTTTAAGAAATTTGTAGTTAAAAGCAGGTTATAAATCTAATAAATAATTAAAAATAAATTTCCTCTTTATCATATATTCTTTGAAGAATACCTCAGGTTGATCTTTTATCTGATTGTGTTTGTTTTTTTATTATTTACCTGTCTGGTTTTTTAGGCAGTCTTTCTCAGTTCCTTCCCAGCTGTATATTCAGAGCTGCTGAAACTCTTTGACATGAGAGAAGTGGCAAACTTAGTACGTGATACTCTAGGAAGCTTGCCAACCATCACAAATGCAGATGAATCCCTTCAAGCTGTAAAGCTTCAGTGCATTGGAAAGGTAGTGGAGAGTCAGCTCTACGCCCATCCAGGTAGGATGAAGAATATGTGAGCACACTGTCATTACAAAGGCCTCTTACATTCTCTAGTCATATGAAATCAAATAACAGTTTTTGTGGAAGTTTAACAATGAACTTTCATGGAAAGATTTGTTTTACACTGGCATCTCTCCTTATATATAATTGTGAAGTAGGGTGGCACTTTCTGAACATTCCACACGCTCCTAAATCAGTTGGCTCCATGATGTGTCACTCAGAAGCTGTCTCTATCCACTGGCTGCGTTGCCTGAGTCCCGCCTCCAACATTCCAAACAGTTTGCTGTTCCTCTCCCCCCAATAGCCCAGAACCCAGAGGTCGTTTGCATATGTGGCCTGATTGGCCTTTGCCTCTAACATTCTAAACAGTTTACTGTTGCTGTTGGGAGTCATTGAATGTGTCCTGAGGTAAAATACATATCCCAATCATCCCTTAAATGGTCACTGGAGTTGCCAGTCTCCCTGTGGGGCCTGGATATCTCCCTGAAATCACTGTGTTCCCCAGCCACAGCACATCATTTCCCCTACAGAAAAGTTCCCATCTATTACAACTGATCTCCAGATGACCAAGATCAGTTCTCCTGGAGACAATGGATGCTTTGGGCGGTGGATTCTATGACATTATACCCTGCTGAGGTCCCTCCCCACCCCTTCCCTCCCCAGGCTTTGCCCCTCAAATCTACAGGTATTTCCCAACCCAGAGTTTTGCCCAAAAAGTAGAGCATCGCCCCCAACATCACCAATGAGATGATGTCACTTCTGGAAGTGACATCATCGCATCAACGATAACACTGAGCAGAGGTCATTTCGGAGGGGAACGCGGGGGCCGGCGGCGGCCGGGACCGTTGGGGGCACTCAGGGGTTGAACTGGAGATTCAGCTGCCTTTCATCCTCTGTTTGAGAACAGGCTAAAAAGAGGAAGCAAGGTCGTTAGTAAATCAGACTTAGAGCCCATCTCCCTCTGCTTGCCTGGTTACCATTGATTTCCAGAATGTGTGTGTGTTTGTATTTGCCTATTCCTGGTATTCCCCTGACCTGGATAGCCCAGGCTAGCTTGATTTCGTCAGATCTCAGCAGCTGAGTGGGGTTGGCCCTGGCTAGTATTTGGATAGTGCTAAAAAAACAGTATTCAAATAGATTGTGCGATTGTGGATCAGGTGCAATAGAGACCTTAGATCATCTTCTGTTATTTTGCCACCAGTGGATTGGCCCCAGATCCTGTTGGATTACTCCTATTTTACATAGACATCACCTCCCTATGGAACCTTGGATGATAACCATGCTCCACCTCTGAACGTCTCTTGCCTTGAAAACCCCATGGGGTCACCCTCAATGTTCCCTCTAAGCTGAGTTAGTGTGAGTTAACTCACAGTTTTTGAGCCTCCAGCTCACGCATTTTTGTCTTAGCTCGGGAAGGAAGGCTCCAGAGCAAACTAATTTATGTAGCAGCCAAATCACTCCCTCACACCTTTAATGCCAGTAGCTCACAAAGTAGAATTTTTGCTCACAAGGCTTCACAGCTTAGAGGGAGCATTGCTCACCATAAGTCAGCTGTGACTTGATGGCACTTTCCACCACCAAATTGCTGGTATGTCACTTTTCATGGTGTATGTGTGTATGCATGCATGTGGACTCTCCTTCCTGTCTCACCAAGGAGAGACCCCCTTTTCCTTCCTCCCTGCAGAAACTTAAAAAGGCACTCAGTTATTCAGAGTACATTGATTTGGAAAATAAAGCATGATGTCCTGGGGTAAAGCCGAGACTCACTGTGGTCTGAAGTGCAATTAAACTCCCTTGTCTCAGAGGGCGAAAATGAACACTTTACAGTGTTACTATATTCTTTGCTATTGAATGTGGGGGAGGGGAAATAACATGGTAAGGGAAGAATTCGTAGGCTGAGCAAACACATTGTTCAAACTTCTAAGACAAAGGATGCTTTCTGTGACAAATCACTTACTTGACTAAAGCTCGATTTACCTGCTAATCAGATTTGTATAGCTCTGAGGGGGTTTCGTGTTTTTTGCCACAAAGGCAGAGGCTAAGTAGTGCTGCTGGATGTAGCATTTAATTTTCTGTGGTACCAATTGGATTTGCACTGCTCCGGAGACATCTGACCCCAAACTCCTTGTTAGATAGATTGTCTGCAAGTCAGATCCTGGGGCTTGCCACTCCAGGTTTGCTCCCCAGCAAGCAGGCTGGGGGAGAATGAGGTGATATCAGGCAGCCGGTGGGTTGCCTAATGCTGCATCCATCCGTATGCTGCGCCACTGTTCTTGTGGTTGTATTCAACAAAAGCTGTGGCAATTTCTTCATCCATCATCTTGCTGGGTGTTGTTTTTCTCCCTTGCCCTCGCTCCCTTTCCTGCCTCTAAGACCACAATTAATTTTGGGTAGTACCAACTGGATTTGTACTGCTATGGAGACTTTTGATCCCTAACTCCTTGTTAGCTATAGATTGGTTGCGAATTGCAGATTTATATGCCACACCAGGATTATTTTTACGCTCCTATCAACTCTTTTCAGGATGCTGGGGAAGCTGCATGGTGAAAGTCAAATTAAATTCAGTTTTCACAAGAGGCAACACCTGTACTGTGTGTTCACAATGCCTAAAGGTTCACAATGTGGCAATTTTACAGTGTTATAACTGACATGGTTGAGCCTGAGCTCTCTGAAATAGTCCAAGCTTTATCAGTATGTGTTAGAGAAATTAAGGCCCCTGCAGGGGATAAGTCGCTAAAAGCGTGGCTTTTAAAAGCCGCGCCAAAGTTGAGACGCCGCGGCGGGATCCCACAATCCCCTGGGCCACGGCGCCTTTTCTCCCCGGCACGATCAGATGCCGGGGAGAAAACACAGTTCAGACGGGGAGCCTTCCGAACTGCGCATGTCGGAGCACAGTTCGGCAAAGACGCGCCGGCGATCCGACGGCCCGGCTTGCGGCGCTTCAAGCAGAAGAACCACCCAGGTAGGTGGTTCTTTGTAGTGCGGGTTTTCAGGTGGAAAGGACAGATCGGGGACGGGCAGGCAACGCTTCCCAGATGTTGCCGTGGGATCGCGCCCGTTTGCTCCGCCCTCGATCCGTCCCGCTCCCGGCCCAAAACCCCTAGTGTGAACAGGACCTAAGTTTCCTTCTGGGCCATGCGTATTTTACTTTATTTCAGCCATTTATAGTCTGAACAGTTTCAGCTTATTGCAGCAAGACAATATTTCCAGCACAATAAAACTTGCATGCTAAAACAATTGTTGTAAGTTCTGACCTAAAAACAGCCAGTAAAAACCAGCATAATAAACAGAAGCAGATGCAGCATAAAGCTCTCCAGTCAGAGCAGTTAATCAAGAGTCAAGGGGGAAAGACAAAAAGAAAATGATATGGATCCTGTGCCTTCTTTTGTAGAGGAGGATAACACTGTGCTAGTAGAAAGAAGGTATAGGATCCACTGGTTGAAAAAAGCAGTACCCCAAGAGAGGCTTGCACAGCTTCAACGAATGGATATTTAATTTGCTCCTTAATTGCATTAAAGAAGTACCACATGCACTCATAGTCTGTCCTCTTTTTTTTCCAGAATCCCGGTATATTCTACTCCCTGTAGTTCTGCATCACCTCCATGTGCATCTGCAAGAGCAAAAGGATCTGATCATGTGTGCACACATCCTTAGCAACATATTTTGTTTCATCAAGAAAAATAGTTCCGTGAGTAGAACTGTGTCATTGGTTTTAATAGCAAAAACCTCGCCTGTCTGAGCCAGAAGTGTGATGCTAGTACCACAAGTGTGCCCAGTTGTTCTCTGTTTAGTTATGGTTTCTGTTGCTGTTAATTTGCATCTTTTGACAGAACCATAGCCAGGATTTTGTGGCTTGTGGAGGAAATATTTTTCTGGTGGGGCTGCCATTATTTTTCTGTCTGTACACAACTCCAGGTGTTTTGTCTGCGAGAAACTCTCTTGGTCTTTTAGCCACAGATTTCTGTTCACTTAACCCTCTCCTCTTCTGCTTTTTGCCTTGCTAATTCTCTTTCTTAAGACACCTGGTTTATTTCTCAATCCCTCCTCTGTTCTACTCAGTCTGTAAAGGTGTGTCACACCAACACGCCTCAAGTGTCTTCCCGTCTTTTTCAGGTTCCCTGGGAAAGGGGAATTACATCAAACACACACACACCCTGTTTTACCTGCACAATGAAATGTAGCACAAACACTCCCCACACACCCCCAAAGAAGGAAGAGTTCAACTAGCACAATGAAATGAGGATCTAATTTGAAGAAGGGGGAAGGGAAATGGCAGAAAACACCCCCCCCCACTTCAGCATGCACAATGAAATGTAGCACAAACACTCCCCACCCCCAGAAGGAAGAGTTCAAGTAGCACAATGAAATGAGGATCTGATTTGAAGAATAAATTGTGAAATAGGGATAGGGGAAAAGGGAATTGGAGATTAGAAACTTCCCAGTTGGCAGAAGGAACATGCTGCCTGGGGTCGCTCCGTTGACTGACAGCCCTATACATCAGATAGAAGGGAGTAGGTGGGAGAAGGACTTTCAGAAGAAATTTTTGTGGGGCTTTCACTTTAAGAAAGGGGACAGAGCCTTGAATAGCCCCATCGTAGCTTCAGGCCTGATTAAGAAGATGATTGAATGATAACAGGTTTGTGGCTAGTGCTTAGTCTGGATGAGGCTGAGTTGTGAAGGATTATTTGGGTAGCAGAGTGCTCAAGGCACATAAAGCAGCAGAGCTTATTTGGTTAGTGTGTTCTGATAAGACACATAGTTACACACAGAGCCTCTTTATCTTTGCAAAACTAATATGAGTCCTTTTTTTTAAGGAACTCTATTCTAGACAGAATAGATTAGAGTTAGGATTCTAATCCAGTCTAACTAGCTAACATGGATAGAGGTGCAGGAAAAGGCTAGTATGGTGTGGAAAGGTATCAGACCAGAAGGAAGGTAGATTCCCTAAGAGTAGCAATCTACACATCAAAGGGATAGCATCAGAGCAGTGGAAGTGAAGGATAGCAGAGTCCTACCTATCTGTCTCTCTGACTCTCTCATAAACCTCCCCTCAAGTCTGAGGCTAAGTGACAGTGCAAAGTCTTTCACTTCCAACAAGTTGAAGATCTCACTCGCTGCTGGCCTACAGTGTCTACAGAGAAAAGGTTTAAACTATTATACTCCCACTTTTCTACCAGGTAGTGTACAAACAAAGCACTCAGAAAAGTAAACCCTAAAGTTCTTCAGAACCATTAGACGCTACATAGAATGCTATATTTTCATGGGAGGAGAATACATTTCTAATAAAGTGTAAACAAAAAATGTATAGAGACAGAATGGTTTGTAAGATGAAGAAGAACAGGTTTTCATACCCCACTTTTCTCTACCTGAAGGAGTCTCAAAGCGGCTTACAATCACATTTCCTTCCTCTCCCCATAACAGACACCTTATGAGTAGGTGGGGCTGAGAAAATTCTGAGAGAACTGTGACTGACCCAAGGTCACCCAGCAGGCTTCATGTGAAGAAGTGGAGAATCAAACCCAGTTCTCCAGATTAGAGCCTGCTGCCCTTAACCACTACACCATGCTGGCTTTTAAGATGTGTTTTTATTATGTATGTTTTTAATCTATGTTTTAATCTGTTAGCTGCCTTGGTGACCCTGAGCAGGGCAGAAAGGTGGGATACAATTTTTTTTGTAAATAAGTAAATGGAATAAATCCAAGTTGAGCATAGTTTGGAACATCAAGGATACACATCAGGCACTGCACTGGCTGCCAATAGCATACCGAATCCACTTCAAGGTGCTGGTGCTTACCTTTAAAGCCCTATATGGCCAGGGTCCAACATACCTGAGGGACCATCACTACGAGCACTTTATAGTACTAACTGCACTTAAGTGTATGTAATGTATGACTGTTTTATCTTGTTTTATCATGGCGCATGGTGCCGTTAACTGTGAGCCGCCCTGAGCCTGTTCGCGGGGAGGGCAGGATATAAATCCAATAAATAATAATAATATATGTTTTTTGAGTGGGCTTGTCCTTATTGCACACTTCCCATTCCTCCTATGACATTAGGCATTGAAAATGACCAGGAGTCACACATTTTCCACCTGACAGGATTTTTTGTTTTGTCATGCATGATTGCTTTGTGCATTTACATATTTTTCTGCAAGATTAAAAATAGGTTAATAGTAATTACAAAACCCACAAGGATAGCAGATAGACAAATTCCTGCTAAGAGACTGAGAATATAACTTTAATGCTAGCAGAGGTTTCATTAATCAAAATTTGCTTCATAATAGCACTTCAGTAAGAAAGACATGCATAAAGCAGAAATGGCAATGTAGTAACTGACGTTTTATACTTCTTATTTACATTATTTATAGTCTGCCCTTCTCACTGTGACTCGAGAGGATTACACAGTGTAAATCAATACGATCAACAGGATGCGACATCCAATAAGCAATGTAATAGCCTTCCTGACCTCAACAAAAAAAAAAATTGCATAATGTGGGGGCCACAACAGAGAATGCACATGTACAGGCAGTTGTCCCATTTGCCCATTTGCAGTCCAGCACCTGCAAAAGGCCCTACTCAGATAAGCGGAGCTGTCATGGTGGAGCATAGGGGGAGAAGCTTTCTAGCAGATATGAGAGTAGAAGGCTATTGAAGGGCTTTATATGTGATATCCAGCACCTTGGACTGAAATCGGTAACTAGTGGGTAACCAGTGGAGTGATTCTAGCATGAAAATAAAATGCAAGCTCTGCTTAGCTCCTGATAATAGCTGAACTGCAACATCCTGCACCAACTGGATTATCTGAATCAATTTCAAGGGGTGACCTATGTAGAATGCATTACAGTAGCCTAGTCTCAATGACACATTGGTGTGGATCCATTTGGCCAGATCAGCAAAGTCAAGATAGGGGGTCATCTTCCAGGTTAAATGGAGTTGCAGAAAGCATTTTTTTTACAACTGCATTCGCTTGTTTCTCCAGCTGTACTGTTGGATCCAGTATGGCCCCAAAACTCTTAACTGAATCAGCCAGGGTCAACTGAACCCCATCAAAGGAGGGAAGCACTATGTCCACCCCAAACAGCATTACCTCTATCATGTCAGGATTTAGTTTCACTTTGTTCACTGTTAGCCATATAACTACAAAAGACAAGCAGAGATTCATGACCTCTACCAAATAACTGGGAGATTACGATAAGGAGATATAGAGCTGTATGTCATCAGCATGTTGATGACAGCCAACCTCAAAACTGTGAATGATTTGTCTAAGGGCTTTGTGTACAGGTTGAATAACAGGGGGGGGATAGGACTGTGCCCTGTGGCCACAAGATAAGCTTTTGAGTGCAGTCCATAAGGGATTATATGAACCAGTCCAAAACACAACCAGTACTTGCCAGTATAAAAATTTCACATGAATGAGAAGTTCTTGTTCAGATGCTTTAACAATGTCTTTAAGAGAAGGAAGGTTTTTTTGGCAGCTAGGAACATGTGCACACGCACACAGAGACACATATACTCGCTTGTATAATGCAAATTGTTTCTACAAAGATCATAAGAAGTGCCATGCTGGATCAGATTTTTTGGGGGGGGAAGTCAGGAACATACATACACATATACATACACACGTACACACATAGCCACATATGCATACATACACAAATATAAATACAAACACACATTTGTAGAATGGAAATTGTTTTTACTAAGGTCATAAGTGCCTTGCTGAATCGGTCTAATGCACCATCTAGTCTAGTATCCTGTTTCCCACAGTGGCAAATCAGTTTAGAAGGTCCGCAACAGGAGTGCAGACAGCACATCCTTCCTGTATCTCATTCAGAGGTACACTGCTCTGAACAGTTCCATTTATCCTTCTGTTACTAATAGTTATTGATGAACTTATCTTCTATGAATTTATATAAGTTACTTTTAAAGCTATCTAAGTTAGCACCCAACAGTATCCTGTGCAGGTTTAAAAAATTATTTCAAAACTGAACTTTCTCCTGTTGCACAAACAGGAATGTTCCTCTAACTGATTTCCTGAGAAGGAAAAAAAGAAGTCTTGATTTTTTACTCTTATGTATCTTGATTAGTTTGCCTTTTGAAATCTAACTGGGAAAGGGTTATGTTTATGCCTTCATGTCTATCTATTAGCTATATTTCTTATCTTAATGCTCTTTGGTTAATTCAGAAGAGTAAGTCAGTGAAATGTCTCTACTCTTCAGAAGACTATATTTCAAAAGTTGGTAATTCATAACTTGCTCTTTAAACAACTGGATTTGAAAGAACAACAGGCAAAGAGCAGATCCAGGCACAATGCATATTTGTACTACATTAGTAAAGGTATGGGTTTATTGTCAGAGGAAACAGATTAGAACGATCTCCCTGCATCCCAGTGGTGTGCCATGCTAAATTTGTAGAGGAAATAAGATCAAGTAATTTCGAGGCATGATGGGTTCACGAAGAGTCGCACTCAACTGTGTGACTGAACAACAATTTTGAGGTATGGGAGAATTTGCAGCAGACAAAGGTATCTGGTGTTTTTAAAAAGATCAAATTATCAAGGCCTTTTCCACATGGGGTGGGGTTTTTTTGGTTCTGGCCCCGTACTGCTTTGGTTTATCCCCTGATTTCCACAGGGATTTTTGTAGGCTTCACCTCATTTATCTCTCTCCTCCCCCATTTTTTCCAGCTGTTTTGAGACCACTTTTACCTGATCTTTTTTTGGAAGTCGATTTTGAGTCAGCTTTTTCTTAGTGCATAATGTTTCTATCAGTTTTATTTGTCCCACCCATCTCTAGCCCACTTTTCAATCACTAGACTGTCATCATTGTTAAACTATTCCCTCTCCCCCCCCCAAAAAAATAGTGATTTCATTTTTTAAAAAGGCCCTAAAATATCAATATGATGCTGTAGTGTTGTAATGATAGTTTAAGGAGGTTCTCTGGATTCCCAGCTTTCATTCTTTTAAAAAAGTAAGCCTCTCTCTCCTTCCCTTGTGGAGCTAAGCTATGACGCCCCCGTCCACTTCCCTCCCTTAGAGGAAAGATTTTCCCTCCATTTTTTCCCCCTTTTGTGACTGAGCAACCCTAGTTGTTTGTTTTCTTCTTTCCTGAACAATTCTGGCTGTCCCACCCTGTCACAGTATAATATTTTGACTCTTGGCTCAGCCCAGGAACCTGAGGGTAGGAATGGGAGCCCCCTTTAACTTATACAACTTAAATGGTACTTGAGAATGTTTTATATTTCAAATTCACAAAATATTTTATTCAACATAGACGGTGAAATTAGAGTCAGGTGAAATTAGGGGTAAAATTTCTGACGTAAAACCAGTTCATGCACAGACTTTAGTTCTTATGTTTCAGGTTAATGAGAGTTTCTTAAGTTATTCAGAGTTACTTAAGTCTTTATGTTGAGAGGCTTTTGTTCCAGTGTTTCCCCCAAACACTTCAGTACACTTCATTTGAGTATTTTCTAACTCTTTTGGTTTCCAGAAGGCTGTTATACGCTTTCCAGTACCCAAATCCCTTGTCTTGAGACACCAGTACACATCTTGAGTTTTTAACTGACGCTTAAGGTCTCCAAAGGCAGTTTCTAACCACACCAGACCAGGGATCTCTGTACTCTTCAGGGTAGGATTTTTTCTCTCTCACTAGAAGATCTATCCCCTTTCCTTGCCCCAAATGGGATTCTTCACCTAGTTTCCAAACTTATTTCCCAACTTTCCCCCGGTTCTCCTGGTTGTGTTAAACTGCTCTCAGCTAGGGCTGAAATCAGACTTTCAATACTTAACTCAGTCAAGGCAGAAATCTAACTGACTCAGCATGCAGCTCTCCCAAAACTTTCTCTGCTCAGCTGATGCTAACCAATCAGATTGCTTGGAGCAGACTGTCACTGAAGACTCTGTTTCTGCAAAGAATTAACCCTTCACAGTCCTTCAGCTGTTCATACGGCACTTCTAAACTTTTAAAACGTACAGTCCATCCCATAAGCCTTTTCCCTTACATCTCTACGTGGGAAGAAGCCAGAAACTTTTTAAAAAAATGAAAGATGGGAATCCAGAGAAGCTGCTTAAACTATCATTACAAAATTACAGTATTATATCGATATTTTAGGGCAATTAAAAAAACATAGAGCGGGTGCTGTGATGCCACTGATAACAACACTGACAGCAACAGCACCCTCCTTTAACAATCCTCATTTTAAAAAATAGATTTTATGAAGAATTTTTAGACAAGAATTAAAAGTAAAAAAATAAGAAAATAAAAAGAGAAAAAATTGAGGAAAAAAATAAAAAATACCAGCAAAACATCCACAATCTCTCAACAACAAAGACAAATACAATTACTTAATACTAAGTCTAAAGTTAACGATTACTTACTTTAGAATTATAACAAAATTACGTCAATAATTTTCTTTTCTGTTATTTAAAATTCTCCTTAGTCATCATATCTGCAAGTCATCAATTCATTAATTTCCCTTTCATGCAAAAAGTCAATAATGGGTTTCCAGTTAGCAATAAATGCAGATATTGTCTTTTCTCTAATGAAAATCTTCATTATTTAAGCCACATGCAGAAGAATATAAACTGACTCCACAACTGTAAAAATGCACAGGGAGGACAAACGTGTGGAAGAACTCTGCACAAACTGATCCCAGTGCTTGTGGATCAACTCCCAAGAAAATTAGGAGCCGCTTCAGCGTGCGGGAAGAGTCCAAGTCTTCTGCAGAGCTCCCATTAGAAGCTGGTGAAATTCCCATCACTTTTTTGCAGTACTTGCAGATTAGAAGCTTTATTCAATATAAACAAACCTAGATGAATATATTTTGGCCTCTAAATAGCTTTGATCATATCTTAAATCAACCAAGGTTCATAAGTGGTTGGTAACTGAAAGCAGGGGCACAATATATATAAAAAATAGATGGGAAAAAGATTTGCAAATAAGTATTTGAGAAAGCCTCTGGCTTAAACTGTATAAACATATCTCAGAAGTATTAGTCAACATAGGCATAAGGAGAAATATTATAAAAATCATGTATAGGTTTTTACACTTTATGCCTGACAGAGTCACAAAAATATCACCATGAGCGTCTGAGAAATGTTGGCTATGTAACAGAAATGGCACTGTTCTTCATACTTGGTGACAATGCCCACAAGCATAGAGGTTTTGGAGCAAAATATTTAAAGAGATTAATAAAATTCTAGACTGTAAGCTAGCGTGTGAGCCTAAGGTAGCTCTCCTCAGTATTTTGCCTGAAGATATACTGCAGAAAACATGTGCTTAAAAATCTTTTGGTAGTGGCAAGACAATGCAAGCTTGGAAACAGCAAAGCCTGCTGGGTATTGATGAATGGACTCGTAAAATATGGCACATTGCATTGATGGACAAAACTGTGGTTTATAAAAAAATGCAGGAAGGGGGGGAAAGGTTCAGGATACATTTGTTGAGAAGTGGTATCTGTTTATTCTCTACTGGAATAGAAAGAAACCTAATCAGCATTATGAAATATTTCTGCAAAAAAATGTTAAACAGAAAATAGATTTACATTGAATAACAGCCGGCATAAAATTGTTTCTTTTGTGTGACTTTTGTGTTTTTCTTTTATTTATCTCTCCTTTTATTTAAATATAATTGTGAGTGGCAAACATTAAAGATTGCAGGAATGTGGCAATCTTTTTTCTTACCTTGAACTGAATTTGATATATGATGTATGAGATATTCTTCTCATTCTTTTCATTTGCATATTGCCAAATAAATATAATAAAATATTTCTTTTTAAATAAGATAAATGTTGTGCTCACACACACACACACACACACACACACACAAAGATGGTAATTCCAGGATGGACTATACAACTCTCTTTTAAATAAAACAACATGGTGACTAAGGAAACTACAACTGGGTTTTTATTAACACCAATCTGAATGATTTTTTTCTTTCTTTAAAAGGAAAAGTCAGTTTTGGAAGAAATAGACATAATTGTGAACAGTCTGCTGGATATACTGCTAAGAACCATTTTGGAGATTACAAGCCGACCTCAGTCAGCAGGGTCTGCAACAAGACTTCAGTTTCAGGATGTTACTGTAAGAGAGAAAAAATAGATATGCAGTTCATTCTCCCTTCTTCCAAAGTATCCTTCAGTTTGTAAAAATAGATGTCTGTATGTATGAGTGCTTCCCAATGGGCATGGGGCAATTCTACGTGTGCAATCTGTAGATGTTTCATACTAACATCTTCTTGAGAAGCCGTTGATGACCTGTTCTCCATTAATTTATTTAATCCTATTTAAAACAACCTAAACCAGGAACCATTACAATATTATCACGTGGCCCCAAATTCCTTGTATGTTAGGGCCAAACTAGCCATGGTGTTGGTCATGTGTTCTCCACAGAGACTAGCAGCCATACACTAGCTGCTGGACCTCACGGAGAACTCTTTAAAAGTATTTTGGAGCCCCAGGTCTGGTTAGGACTGTGACACTGGGGGAGGAGCTCCTCCCCCCCTACCATTTTCCTGACCTAAAATGGCACCAGGAGGCATTATGTTCTCCACTGGACAAATACACACACAATAGGGCAAATAATTCCCCCCAAGGGCTGTTTTGGGTCAAGAAAATGGTACAGGAGAAGGCGGGAAATCCTGGTAGCATTTTTAGAGGGAGTTCTCCATGGGGACCAACAGCCCTTGTGGAGAACAGCCCTTGAGTGACCACTTATTCTATCATTGTAGGAGGGCACTTTTAAATAAAGAATGTCATATACAGTACACAGGAGATAAAAGAACAATTTCCAAAAGTTTGTTACTGAAAATCAGTATTGGAGGCTATAATTAGCATTGAAAGAGCAGGGGGAGGAAGAGAACCCTTTTCCTTTCTGTGGTTTTTATGCTCAAATATTTCTGTCCCTAAGCTGTTTTCTACCTGGAGAGCAAAATATATGGGACCGTTGTTACCTTTTCCCTGCAGGGAGGCAATATAGCTTAGGGAAGGCAATTCTGAATAGACAAATGGCAAGAAACGAAAAGTTCAAGCATTTCTTTGCTAAAACTGGCAACCTCCCGTAGCTACATTTCAAAAATAAATGAATAAATTGTGATTGTTCCTTTATCCCCGACATATTATCCAGATTTGCCCTAAAGTATAATGAAGTGTATATCTGCCTTGTTCAATAATACAAACAAATGTATGGAAGTGGATTCAAGGCCTATTTTTAGTGAGCAGAATGGAAACTTAATAGGTGAAATAATGTCAGGATATGCTCTGCTTCTTTTGAAGTGGTAGGCATCTTACAAGAGGGAGGCATATAAGGGTTTAAAAAGAGCAGCTGACCTATTTTTGTTCACTCCACAAAGTTTTAGGTTAGTTGAGTCATGCTTTGTCTTGCATTAGAGCTGCTTTTTATGTTGTTGAGTCTTTTAAAATATATCTTCTGATGCCAAGTGGGTTCGAAATGACATCTTGCTCTAAAAGCAAATATTTTATAGAAGATCTTAATAAAACATGACATCTTGATTTTGAATTCCCTCCCACATGCAAGATATTAATGTAATATTGACATAGTTAAGATGCATGCTTTAGTCTTGAGAGATTGTACTTACAGAATTTCATAGTTCTTTATGCTAAATTTTGGAAAGTTGTAGTACTGCTAAATTTTGCAATGAATTGTTCATATTGCAAAGGCTCATATATATTGACTTCTACTTAACAGTTCACACATGCAAGTGTTGCTAAATAAGGCTTGTGGAATAAGTATAGCTTCAGTTTGAATCTGTTTCATTTAAATGGGTTTCCTTTGGAGAACTTCCATTTGCACATAGTGTTGCTTTCCACATTTTTAAAAAAAGGCTTTATTCATATGCAGGACTGAAGAATAAACTCTTGGGGTGCTTGCATGGCATTGTGAACCAAATGTGTTGAGAAGTTTCAAGCACCACATCAAATACATAATTTTAAGTGACTCATAGCACAGCATAAGGCAATTATATACTGTTATGTAGCAAGATCATGCAGTACTGTACTTGCTTATGGCAACATACTGAGCCAAATGCTCAGAGTTACTTGTGAAAAAAGACACTGCCCAGTTTGAGTGTAGGTGGCAGGTTCACGTGTTGTCGGGAATCCATTCTGAAATGCTTATAAAAATATATATATAAATTAGTACATTGTACAAAATGTAGGTGGAGTTGTGCTGAAATACAAGGCTAGACTTTCCATCCCAGATTCAGTGTTGCCTCACTTTCAGAACAAGCCAACGGATGATTGCTTTTGTAATCTCCTTCTGTACGATTTTGCTGAAACTTGCCTTATGCTGAACTGTGCAGTGTGATAACTGACAGGCACAAGGCACTGAGCCTTCATCCCGCATAAGATCTTCTCTAGTTCAGTGGATCTCAAATGGGCAATGCCCACTGAATTTTTTTTCTCCTTTAACTTGGATTGGCGAATTGGTTTTCAAGCCCCAAGAATGAATGTATGCATTGATGAGTATGCATGCAGATAAAATAAAAAAGATGCATGATTGTGTAAAATACTTGCAATCAATGGAGGTTGCTAGCTGCTGCTTTTAAAATGCATTGCCTCCTTTTTCTTTGGTACTGTCTTCAACGACCTTCTGTATCGGTGCCTGGTATACTTGTAGTCTGTTGAAGTCAATGGGCTTAGAAGGGTATAATTGTATTTAGGTTTACAGTGTTGGTGTGCAGTGAATGAGTAACTGTACAGGAAGACATTTGCTTGATGTGGTAGTTGTGCCGAGGAAACCAATGTAATCCTCAAAAATTACAAGAAAGTGGGTAGCCCTAATGAATGTAATATTAAAGAAACATGGGTTGTCTCTTGAATATTTTTAAAAAGGAAAGAACACTTAATAACAATAAATAAACAACATGGTAGAATGCAGTAGGTTACAGGCAATTCTTTTCAAAGGCTCTTTCCATTGCTTGTTGATGTGTGATTATACATGTATAAAATCAGGAACTTTGTTTTACCTATTTCTGTTGGAATGCTTTTCTTTTTTCTTACGAATATATCTGTCTATTTTAGGGAGAATTTGTGTCATGTCTGTTGTCTTTATTACGGCAAATGACCGACAGGCATTACCAGCAACTTCTTGATAGATTCAAGACGCGGGATGAGCTGAGAGTGAGTATTATTCATAAGTAGCAGACTTGTGATTTTGTCCTTGTGAATATTCTCAGATGCTTTCCATTTCCTCAGTCTATTGGTGATTTTCCTGTTTCACAGGAGGTCATTGATTTGTATATGTGAAGGACAACACAGGGCAAATTAAATGTGCTTCTTTATTTCAAAGGCCTTACTGTCCTTGAGCTGTTCTCTCAGAGTTGTTAGATACTTGCAGATTTGCAGTGCAAGCTTTTTCATGTACAATAGTGGATGAGGTTCCTGCAAATAGTGTTCCATTTTGGTTGTGGAAGATTCTGTTTGAAATCCCTGCTCTGCCATGAAAGATAAGATTGGAATTATTTAAAAACTGTAAAAACTGTTTATCTTTAAAATTGCTGTAGGGGTGATGCATAATAATGCGTGGATTTATAAAAATGCAGGGCCTAAGGGTATGAATACATTTTGTCTGTACTTAGATGAGCAGAGATTCCTTTAACAGAACAGAGAACAAGTGCTAGAACAATGCAGCATTGCTTTTTGTAGCTCAGTTCCCATCTCATGGAAGAACCAGAGAACCTTTCCAACAGCACAGTTAGAACTCCCTGTAAAAGGCACCAAAAGCAATATTGCATCTTTCCTGATACACAGATGAATCAATGCTATGAGCATCATTTGACAGGGTGAGAAATGAGCACACAGTAGACAGTAACTCTTTTTGTAATTTAAGCAACCCTTCAAACCATGTGCAGATTATGGATATTATTCAGACAGCTTCCAGGCCAGCTGCTGCAGACTTTACTCCAGCAGTATGAGAAGAGAGATCATCATGTCCATGGTGATCACATGATTACCAGTTGTAATAATATTGGCTTGCTGCTTTTGGGGATTTTGTTGTTTCAGTATCATTCTTTTTGTGCCACTTGGCATTTTGAGGCATAGAAACTGATGTTCACATAGTAAGTCTTTCTCCCTCTCTCTCAATATCTAAGAGCCAATTTGTGTTAAAAAGTTCCACCTGGTTTCTCTTTTGTTGTCCCAGAAATTTATCTATATTGAGAACCATTAGAATGCAATTGAGATGGTCCATAACAGACCATCCTACAAGTTTGGATTTACACATCTATGCATGTGTGTATCTAAGAGCCAGTTTGGTGTAGTGGTTAGGAGCATGGACTCTAATCTGGGAGAACTGGGTTTGATTCCTCACACCTCCATATGCAGCTGCTGGTTTGACTTTGGGTCAGTCACAAGTTCTTTCAGAGCTGTTCTCTCAAGAGCAGATCTCTCAGAGCTCTCTCAGTCCCACCTACCTCACAGGATGTCTGTTAAGGAGAGGGAAAGGGAAAGGAGATTGTGAGCCATTCTGGGATTCCTTCGGGTAGTGAAGGGTGAGGTATAAATTCAATCTCTTCTTATTCTTCTGTATCTTTGTCTGTCCATCTAAGGCTAAATTATATTCAGTCCAGCTAAACTCTTGAGGCAAAGTGTGTGTTGCTGGGATTCATGTGCTTCTTCGCCTCTTCATTTGTGCTTAATTTGTGCATGGACCTCCTGTATGTATCCTGGTGAATGCTGGTCTTAAGACCAAAGAATGCTGGTCTTAAGACCAAATGCAAAAGAAAGTAAATATCAAAACTAACCGTGTGAAAGAAACCAAAATAATGTATTAAAACATTATGGATCATTAAACCACCCAGCATATCATCCATTTCCCCACCACCACCCACTCAGCATTAACAATGGCTGGATCTTGGATGTTTAAATCAGCATTAAACACAAAATCTTTTTTAAAAAATAAATAAAAATAAAGGTCACTTTAGTGCTTTATAACACTCCTAGAATCTCGGCAATGGTAGGGGTTCCTGGGCATACAGATTAGTGTACAAGATTCTGTAATGGCGGCCACTGAATTTGCCATGTGGAAGCTTTTGATTCATGCTGTTTGATTGTGTGTGTGTGTATTAAGTGCTGTCAAGTTGCTTCCAACTTATGGCAACAGTGTGAGCTAGCTCACAGTTTTTTAGCCTCCAGCTCACAGATTTTTGTCTTAGCTCAGGAAGAAGAAGAAGAAGAAGAGATTGGATTTATACCCCGCCCTTCACTTGGAGTCTCAGAGCGGCTTACAAACTCCTTTCCCTTCCCCTCCCCACAACAGACACCCTGTGAGGTGGGTGGGGCTGAGAGAACTCTGACACAAACTGCTCTTTTTCAAGGACAGCTGTGCCAGAGCTTGTGACTGACCCAAGGTCACTTCAGCAGGTGCAAGTGGAGGAGTGGGGAATAAAACCCGGTTCTCCCAGATTAGAGTCCGCACACTTAACCACTACACCAAACTGGCTCCAGAGCGAACTAATTGATGCAGTAGCCAAATCTCTTGCTCAGAACTTTAATGCCAGTAGCTCACAAAGTAGAATTTTTGCTCACAAGACTCCACAGCTTAGAGGGAACATTGATGGCAACCCTAGGAATTAATGATTAGTAAAAAATAAATCTGATGTCAATGAAAAAAGATCCATTGTTGTGATAAGTCACAAAGATAGTGAAAACAACTGGTGGATTGTATAAAGTCTGAATGGAATTTTATATATCTCTCAGAGAGAATTTTGAAGTATAGGTACAAACATTATCCGTTTTCTACCTAGCACACAAACACATTAAATCATTTTGACCTTATTTCTTCAATGTTTCCTGAAGAAACAAACATTTGGAAACAGAAACCTTAGGAACCATTAGTTTTTTTTAAAAAAAACTAGAACTATCTAATGTTGTTGCTAAAACATTTTGGCCATTTTTCTTTTACCCATGGAATAATATTTTTTTCCTTTTTTTGTCCTAGGATTTCTTGTTGCAAATATTTACTGTATTTCGAATATTACTACGGCCTGAGATGTTTCCAAAAGATTGGACAGTGATGCGTTTAGTTGCTAACAAGTAAGACTTTTGAAATGCATGAACCAGACCTGATTGGAAATGAATGGGTAACAATATTCATAATTTAGATGGCCGTATAATGTCACTTGCCTTTGGGCACAGAATTGCAGCCTTGAAACATGAAACATGTGAAATGTTTTTAAGCATTTCTGTTTATGCAGTTTGATCATTGAAAAATAAAGTCAATTACTATGAAGACAGTCTGTCTTTGCAATGCTGACAGTAGGGTTACCAGGTCCAACTTTGAAAGTATCTGAGGACTTTGGAGGTGAGGCCAGGAGACTTTTGTGATGCCGTGTCCTGTGATGTCACTTCCAGGTCAAAGGTCAAGTGATGTCACTTCCCAAGCCCCACCCCTCCCAAAGATGTCACTCCCAGCACACTGCACTGAAACCCCACCGCTTCCTGTGATGTCACTTTCCAGGCACTCCCCCAAATTCACCTCTTTCTCTGATGTCATTTCCTTCTTTCAACATTCAAATTTAAATACACTGTTGTATATTACTTCCCGCACCCACGTTTTCCCCATTTTACATTACCTGTAGGCTTTTAGGCCTCTTTCTAGTGCAAAAAATAACAAAAATCTTTTAAAAACATAAAATGCTTTAATTTTAACATTTAACAATTAGAACAAAAAACCAAGCAAACAGCATGTGTCACACAAGTGAACAAAACAAGAGAAACTGTCATGTTTACACTGCTACCAGAAGCTAGTTGCCAAAAGCATGTGCAAGCTAGCAAGAGCTTCCTGCTCTTTTTCTTTTCTCCCTTCATTTGGGACAGGGTTATGGATTGTTCCCTCACCTCCAGTGCAGACCGTAAGGCAGCAGTCCCTGTTGCCCGTTGGGTAAAACTACCCCTACTGTGAGTCACCATAGACAGGTGGAACATGGCAGAGGGGGAGGGGTAAATCCATCTGAAGATTGTTCTTTGCTAACCAAATTATGGGTTCTTTTTCTGCTTTTTAAAGAATTGCATGCTTCATAATCTAGTTACAAATATAGCAGTCTTTACTGTGTGTTCAGCCCTAGCAAGATTTGGTTGGGACTGTCTTAAAACTGCTCAAGACTAGGGCCCAGTCAGCAGATCACAAAGGTTAACGTCTATATCGATTTCCATAGACAAGCAAAGGTACAATATGTAAGTGAATGGAATCTAACTGTAGGTGGAAACACAAAAGCCAAATCAAGGCATAAATTGTTTTCTTGCAGAAGCTATGGACTATCCTGCTTTTGGTGTGATCACTGCTTTGAAGGTCAGGAATCAATTTTTCTCCAGGCCAGTTTGGCTGGAGATGCTGGAGGTTTTTTGCCATCTTCTGGGCATGGAACAGGGGTCATTCACTGGGAGTGTGGAGTGGGAGGCAGGGGTCTCATGGGGGGGGAGCCCTCCGGAGCACAGCTCCGGGAGTGCCCAGCCCAGGGGGCGGGGCGGTCACATGACCAAGCCCCACCCCCTGCTCCCAGCAGCCACTCAGTCAGTGCCGGACGAAGGAAGGTACTCTCCCCAGCCAGCCCCACTTCTCCGCTTGTCCTTCGCTCTTCCCGGGGCACGTGGTGGGAGGGCAGGAGAAGCGAGGCCCAGAGCTGTGGCGGCCAATTGCCGCGCCAAGAGGGGCCTGCCTCGCCCGCCTCCTCGCCAGGGAGCGCTCACAAGGAAGGGAGGGAGGGATGGAGGCTGAGTGCCCTGGGTCGCGGCCGGCACAGCTGCCGACCTCCTCCTCCTCCGGCTCTAAAGGGGCGGCGATGAGGCTGCAGCAACCCCTGCCGTCGTGGAGACCCCCACGGGGTCCCAGGACTCAGCCGGGCCCGCGATCCTCCCCTCTTCCCTGGAGTTTGACGAGGACCTGGAAGTGTTCAGCAAGGTACAAGGCGTGGAATCCCTCTCCCTGCTGTGCAGGGAGAGCCTGGCAGCCCGTGGCTTTCCCGCAGGGGGGCTGGGGCCTGGCCCGGGGCTCCCTCCTGGGGCCAGAAGCGCCTGGGTGGCTTGCCCCATCGCTTAGGCAGAGGCGACTTGCCCCGCCCCTTGCTCAGCTGCTGCCCTTTTCCCTGCCCGGGGAGAAGTTTGTTTTCCCGTTCCAGGACACGGGACGGGGACAAAAGGGGAGTGAACTGCGTCGGGCGAGAAGCTTCCTCTCTTCCCACGCAGACAGAACGAGGCCCCACCCACCCCCCGTTGCTGCTTCGTTCTGTCCGCGCGGAGCTCACCTTTGCCCTCAAAACCCACATAGTCCCGTTGTTGTGCCTCCATTTTTGCCCTGCTCACATCAAACACCGCTCCCCACCCCCCAGTAAGACTAAAATCGGAGGGGGGGGTGTCACTGCACCTTTAAAGTCCTGCACATTTTCTGCTGTGTACAAACACCAAGGTCTAGTCGCAAAGTTAGTTACTCCATGCTCTTTTTAAGGTGGGCTGGAAAGAGAAACAGAGTAGGTGGTCTGTGCCCTCCAGTGCTCTCCCCCGCTGACAAAGATAAGCAGCCGGACTACCTTGGGGTGCAGACGATGACTTGATTTTGGGAGAAAACGGGCAGATGACTCGCGCTGAGTTTGCTTGAGCAACCGTGGCTGAAGTGTCACCGACTGATGGCCGGTGCCACCTTAAGGAGCGGTTGTTGGTGCTTTGGAGTGGGAGGCTGTCAGCAAGCACATGGAGATATTAAAGCAGCCTGCGCTTTGCCTCCGCAGGCAATGGTAGTTAGGCTGGTCTCTAGGGACGAGAGAGGGAGGTAGCCGGCTGTCTCTGTTTGGGGACCGCTTCTGAATGAAGGGAGTAAGGAAAAGGCGCCTATCCCTGAGCATATTCACCAGCTCAGGGGGCTCTCCCCTAAGGGCTAAGGCAAGGAATGGTCTTTCCCAGCTCCATAGGTTAGAACAGCACTCTTGATGTAGTAGTAAAACCACCAGACTGTCCCTAATAAGAGTGTGAGTATCAAATAACAGGTATGGGTCTATTCCTGTTTAGTGAGTGGTTTTAAAAAAGGTTATTATTAGTAGTAGCTTCTGTAGTGGTATTTACTGCACATCTTAACTGTGTTTCTCTCCTCAGCCTTCTTATTCTTCTCACTGTATATAGATAAGGAATTGAAGCTGAGAGGTGGTACAGTGTGTGGCAGAGGAAGAGAGTCAATATGGAAGGTGGTTCCCCAGCATTCCTATTTGCCAAGAAGCATCTCATGACCTAGCTGCTTTAATTCTCTTTCCTACACAGTTAGGAAGGAGGGACATTCAGTCTCTGCCAGGCACTAAGAGAGGTATCTCATTCCCCAGAATCTCTTTCCTTTTCTTAAAAAATAAGAGGGGGAGAAGCCTGGTCCCCATCTTCATCTATCTGTACTGACTTGAGATCTTTCTTTGTGTGGTCAGCGAAGTAAACCAGTTGGGAGCATGGTTTGATTTATGAATTGTGTGATATTCTTCCAAGAAGGAGAGTGCTGGAGTTTTCTTTCTGAAGTTTTGAGTTTAGGGAGAAAGTGTAAGTTTCTAATAGTGAGAGCTGTTTTCCTGTGGGCAGTTTTTTTGGGAACGACATACTTGATTTGTATGTCTGTGTAGTATACGTTGAATTAAAGCATCCAGCATCAGGAAGTATTGGTGCTGTTCCATAATAATACCTTAAACTGCTAAACCTCACAACACAGTTCCATGGCTTTTTAGATAAAAGAGGATTTATAGTCAATAGCAGGTTAATAATAGTATCAGATGGAGTCCCCAGTCTCTTAAATCTGTCCCGGATCTGAGACCAGAATCTAATGCAGTGATAGTGGTTCAGGAGCCACCTGTGGCTCTTCTGAGCACTATCCCCCAAAGCGACATCTGTCCCATATTTTAGGAAAGTAGGCAGGCCTCTTGCCTGATGGAGGACTGGTTGGCAGTTAGTTCCCACCTTGAAGAAGCTGCTGCTGAAGGAATGGAAATACTACAAGCTGCTGGTGGACCTCCGGAGGGCCCCTGGTATTTTTGGTGATGATCCAGCATGGCTTCTCTTATGTTCTTATCTCTGGCGCAGTGATGCTCTGCGTTCTTGGTGCTTGGGGGTGTGTGGCCTTATGACACACTTCCGGTAATGTCAGGGTGTGTGGCATATGCTAATGAGTTATGCTAATGAGCTCCAGCAGCTCTTTTTCTACAAAAAGACCCCTGGTGAGAGGTATTTGTGAATTTCCTGCATTGTGCAGTTGGACTAGATGACCCTGGAGATCCCTTCCAACTCTATGACTCTATGATTCTATCATCAAGCAATAGAACATAATCTTTTGTACCAGAGCATTGACATGGCATGAGCATTTTGCAAGGGGAAGCTTGCTCTTTGGAGTAGCGCCTTCATTTTTTGAACATTATATTTCCTATGCAATTTCTTGCTGCCTGAGGAGAAAAAAAATCCCCCTTCATTGTTCATGCTCTTCCAGAACTCTGTATAGCTAGCCTTGGTTAGAAGAACTGAAATTGGGAAGAAGATAGCACATTAAGAATGTCTACTAACTGGGTTCCATTCTCCACTAATTTGTCATATTTAAATAACTTTTAATAATAACAAGAGGTTTCCACGGTCACAGCTAAAAGCCCAAGACTTGAAAGTGAGCCAGATGACATTTGAGGGTTTTTAAAAATTGTTATAAACACTTACAAAAATGGGGATCCTTGGGTGTAGAATTCATTATCTGTTTTAGTGAATGGGAAACACAAATGTCATACATAGAAAGGCAGGTTTTTTGGGGGGGGATCATTAGAATTGGATAAATGCAGACTTTTAAATATGGGAAAAAATGTTTAATTTAATAATGACAGCTCTCAGGTCTCACTGTGTGGGATAAATGGGTTCTGCTCCTCAGAGAGAGAGAAATGCAGGCTGACACAGCAATGCAGATCCAAGGCAGGTTGGTGTGTTTTACCGAAAGCTGCTATGCCTCCCTCTTTGCTGCCCTGAAAAGTCACTCACCCATTATCCAGTGATAAAAAACAAACAAACAACCACTTGCCAGCTGGGCCTGGTAAGAAGTTTTTGGTTTCTATTCTGACCTTGGTAGAAAATATACCAGCACTTAGTTGCCGGGGGGGGGGGTACATGCTGTCAAATTGCTTCTGACTTGAACACCATATGAATAAATGACCTCCAAAACATTTCAGACCTGAAACTCACCCCCCCCCATTCCTTTTAACACCCCAGGCCCTGATAGCAGCAGCTCTCTGGCCATTGCAACCAAGGGACCAGGGAGAACTATGTGCATGGGCTACGCCACCCCCTCCACGCTCTCTCTCTCGGTCATTCACACACACATGCACCCCAGGCCCTGGCAGTGCTCTGGCCATGGCAGCCAGCGATTTCTGGGAGATATCCACGCCCTACAGGGAGATTGGCAACTCCAGTGACCATTAAGGGAAGATTGGGATATGTATTTTACCTCAGGACACATTCAGTGACTCGCAACAACAAACTGTTTAGAATGTTAGAGGCAAAGACCAATCAGGCCGCATATACAAATGACCTCTGTGTTCTGACTGGCTGTTGGGGGGAGAGGAACAGCAAATTGTTTAGAATATTGGAGGCAAGACTCAGGCAACACAGCCAGTGGATAGGGACAGCTTCTGAGTGACAGATCAGGGAGCGAACTGATTTGGGAACGTGTGGAATGTTCTGGAGAGTCCATGACCAAAACAGAATTATATATAAGGAGAGATGCAGGGTATAAATATTTTAAAGGAATACATGCAACAGCCCTTCTTAGGATTTCTACAAGTGAACAAAGCATATTGTCTTCATAGTACCTAAGCAAATAGCATTTTCTTAGCAGATTCTGGAATATAAAATCTCTGAAAATCAAATGAAGGTTTTGTTTGTACTTAAACTTAAACTTGTGACATAGGACATGCATGCTGAATATTGAGCAGCCATTTGGCTCAGTTCTGAAGAAACGATGATAAGCCTTGGTTTCTTTGGTAGATAAAATTCTGATTTTCTTGGTGTCCCTCCACTTCTGGCACCCAAACAATTGCCTAGGTCTGCTTAGTAGATGGGTTGGTCCTGCTGATGTGCATATTACTAATCAGAAGGAATAATAGCAATGATATGTATTCCAAAGGAAGGGAAGGAAGGAAGAGACTGAGAAAAATGCTTATTTCTGTAAACACCATTCCCTCTGTTCAGATGCAAGCAATCACTCGTTACTATCCATGTAAGATGGCGGAACCACAGGAACATGTGGTTGAGATTTAGTGCTGAATATCAAAGTGTAAAAAAATTAAATATGCATTGGATATTAATGAGGAGGAAAAGGGTAAATTCTACAGCTAAAAGCAAAAGAAGGAGAAACAGAGTTAAGTGATAGAATTAATAAAATTAGATGAAAAGGAAGGGTACATTAACTGATCCATACTGACTGGAAACCCTTTGAAATGGTTTTGCAATTGTTGACCAGTGATGGAATGTGTTTGAGTCAAGGTTGTTATCTATTTATACAGACACTTGTATGTCTTATAGTTCAGGCTTTTTGACTCCCAACAACATTGGGTATTATTTATGCTAAGAGAGATCAAAGTACACAGGTGATTAATCCCAGACACACAGATTTAATGAATCGATTTCTTAGCATTCAGGAAAAGATCCTTGGTTGTGTCAAAACAAAATGTGATGAAGGCTGCCTTGCCTTTTGTAAAATATTTGACAGCAATGTTTTGACAAAGCAAATAGTACATGAAAGCAGTATGTTTAATGGCTTAATTTCATTATTTTTCACAAGTTTTATGTATTAAAGACATGTATTATCATAATGGTTTATACTTGACACCAACAGGATTAGATGGAAAGTATACAACAGAATAGTTGGTTGCTCAAGATACTAAAAATGGTTTTTAATGTAATTATACATCATTCTTCCACTGGCTTTATTGCCTTCATTAAAAGTTTTGGATAAGGTATTACCTACCCTAATTTAACTCTCTTTAATTCAGCCAGTATGAATGCTTATCTATGCAATATTTTTTTCTTTCCTTTTACTAGTGTTATTATTACAACAGTGTTATACCTTTCGGATGCCCTTCGTAAAAACTTCTTAAATGAAAGTTTTGATTACAAGGTAAACTAGTAATCCATTTGCATTACAGAGTTCTGACTGTATGTATGTATGTGCCATCTCATTGTGATGCTGGTAAAATGGGTTCCCCCCCATCTCTGAGCTATAAATAAGAGCTGCATTGAGTATCTCATGGTTGAATGTTTCTCAGGGGTGGTGACCATTCTTGGCATGCAAAAGGTACCAGGCTTAATCCCTAGTATCTCTGATTAAAAGAACTTGTATAGAAAGTGCTGAGGGAGAATGTTGTTGTGTATCCAACCATCTAGGAAGTGTGACTTTCCCATTTCCCTCTTCCACTGTAGCTGCTAATTGAGCTGCCCTCCAATTTTGTTCTTGAAAATTAACAAACCCTCAAGAACAACATAAGGGTCCACAGGGGGAGTCCGCACTGACAGGGCAGGATGAATTGGCAAAAATCATCAGTTTTTTTGCAACACACATCCTGAAATTGTCACATCTACATCAATTCAGCAGACCAGGTTTTGAACAGATAGTTAGCTTATAAAATGATAGTGATGTACATCCTAAGAAATGGTTGGTTATTACAGTATTTATCAGTAAAGTATAGTCTTAAATCTGGAAAATAAATAACTGTATTGTCAGTTGATGAATCATAGCTCTGACAAGGAAGGGAATAACCAAACATTATGTTTGCTTTTAGATTTGGGATTCCTACTTTTATCTTGCAGTCATTTTTATCAACCAGTTATGTCTGCAGTTAGAAATGTTTACACCTTCCAAGAAGAAAAAAGTATTGGAAAAGTAAGTACCACGACTGGCTCTCATAAAGTGAGACGGCATCCAACATTAATTGCCTGAAACATCTAATTTTAGTATATGGTTTTCCTTCCAAAGCATTATTAAGGCAATGAATATCCGGAAAGACTACCTTAGTTGTTGTTGCTTTTAATTGTTTACTGCTGAATGTTCAAAAAAGATCAGGAAAACTGTCACAAAAAGCAGAGATTTGGTTGCTAATATACTAATGACAGAATATTTTCATATTATCCTGGATAACCTGTGTCATTAAAAAATGTGGAGACTGGCAGGACCTGTCATTTTATTGCCACTGGTACATCTGGACTACCAGTGTTTATCCTGGCATCAAGTGAGGAGAAAAGTCAGTAGACTTTAAATCTGACAGCCCCCCAGTGGAGTCAGCTTGTGCTGCTAGCATGTGGAACCAGGGAAGTTGCTCTGCTACTACCTGCTCACTCTCCTTGCCCAAAAAAGTAAATTTGACATAGATCTAAAATCGATCAGCTGATCCTTTGCTATGAAAGGCTTTTTAAATAAAAAAATCTATCACTCCTTGAGGGGCTTAGGAAAATCCCCTTCCATGTGCAACATATTTGTAACTGTGGTCAAATGATCCCTGATGTTTAATTGCTTGTTTAAAACATTTCTATGCCGTCTTTAAATTGAGCAAACTTCAGAGGACAGCGGAAGACAGGAAGGCCTGGCGTGATCTGGTCCATGGGGTCGCGAAGAGTCGGACTCGACTGTGCGACTGAACAACAACAATGTCGTCTTTCCACCCAGATAAGGTCCCCAAGGGGGCAAACATCATAACATTAAAATATTTCAAAATTAAAACATGGAGACATTAAAATAGATTTTAAAATCGGTGGGTCAAGTCAAATGCTGTCAAGTGACAGCTGACTTACGGTGACCCTAGCAAGGAACTTTCAAGGCAAGTAAGAAACAGAGGTGGTTTGCCATTGCCATCCTCTGCAGTCTTCTTTGTTGGTCTTCCTTCCAAATACTAACCCTGCTTAGCTTCCAAGATCTGACGAGATCGGGCTATACCAATTCAATAAAACATATAGACACACAAACACAAATAACACAATCAGGGAGGAGGGCCATTAACAGTTGGTGGGTGAACACCAAACCAAACAAAAAAGCCTTCATCCACTGACGGAAGACAATGATGACACCATTGCCCTTATCCAATTTCACCCTGGGTTTGAACAGAAACAGTTGTAGATCCATTCCATCCTATTATATTGTTTTGGAAAGAGTTAAATAGATGGCACTTCTCTGGTTTTGGTCTTTGCTTCTCTGACATGCTGTCAGAAAAATAAAAAGCCTGGCCCCTTAAGTGTAGTGTGCCTCAGGGATTCATACTCTCACCATGTTATTTACATCAGACATTTGAATCAGATCATCCAGAGCATTAAGGTTAGGCATCATCAGTGGGCTGATATGCATTCTGTTTTGTTAATTAAGCCACTGGATGCAGCTATTTGTTTCCTCACCATTGTCTAGATGTCATGGTCAAGTGGGTGGGGTAGGACAAGTTTAAAATGAATTTACATAAGAAGAGCCGGATCAGACCAGTGGTCCATCTAGTTCAGCATCCTGTCTCACAGAGCGACCAGACTGGTCCTATGGAGGGCCAACAACAGGGCATGGAGGCTGAGACCTTCCCTTGATGTTGCCTCCTGGCTCTGGGATTCAGAGGTTAGTGCCTCTGAATGTGGAGGTTCCCCTCCGTTACCATGGCTAGTAGCCGCTGATAGACCTATCCTCCATGAATCTATCATCCCCTTTTAGAGCCATTTATTCCTATGGCCATCAGTATATCCTCTGGTAGCAAATTCGACATTTTAATCACTCTCTCTGTAAAGTAATATTTCCTTTTGTCCATCCTGAACCTACCGCCCATCATTTTCATTGGATGCCCTTGAGTTCTAGTACTTTGGGAGAGAGAGAGAAATTTCCCTTTGTCGACTCTCTTCACCTCATGCATAATGTTATAAACCTCTATCATGTGACTTAGTTCATCCATTGGCCCACCAAGCCCAATTTATTCCAAACAGCTCTCTGGAGTCTGCTTTCCCAAGGTTTTTTTTTTTTAAAAGCTACAATTGCTGGGGATTGAATTTGGGGTCATCTGTGCAGTGCCTCCTCCTCATTATTCCATGTAGCCAACACCCCTCTAGGGGGAATAGCTCTCCAAGGTCTTCTTATTTGGCGATGCAGTTACTCCCTACATGTTAAAGCTTGGGCTGAGTAATCCTTGTTAACAAGCTAGGGTTGCCAGCTTCTGGGTGGAACCTGGAGATCTCCTGGAATTACAACTGATCTCCATACTGCGGAGATCAGTTCCTCTGAAGAAAATGGATGCCCTGGAGGGTGGGCTCCATAGCATTATGCTGAGGTCCCACCCCTCCCCGAACCCTGCCATCCCCAAATCTCTAGGACATTCCCAATCTGGAGCTAGCAGCCCTAGCCTGGTTATAAAGGGAAGCAGCTGATCACTTTGCCATGCACTCAGACCACACTTCAGGCCTGAAATGATATCCATTTACTGTATTTACCTGAAAGTTTCACAAAACTGGATCCAGAATTTTTATACAGGCAGAAGCAAAAACCCTGCGTGACAAAGCTTTCTGAGCTTGGTTGCAGAACTCACCAACACTAGTAACTTTCTCTAGTTCTTCTTCCTTTGTACCCCACCTCTTCCCCACTGGGGACCCAAAGCAGCTTTTGTTCTCTTCTCCTCTGTTCCCTTCTCCTCTGTAGTTGAGGCTGACAGGGTATGACTGGTCTAAGATCACCAGCAAGCTTCCATGGCAGAGATTTGAACCCCAATGGCCAGAATGATAAATTATACAGAATAAGATGAAATATGCAATATTCATATTAATAGGCCAGGTAGTCTAATTTATGTTACAATTACTATTTACATAGTACCATCAACATACAAAGGGGCTTTCACCACTAAACAAGACAAGTACTGACCTGTTGACTGTGGGTAAAGCTTTCAAATTATTGCACGACTGTGGGCTGAGTTTTATTACCTAGTACTGTTGTGATTTTTTTGGAAAAGACTATGGTTTTAAATTTTGCGGTTAACCACCCTGAGCCTTTTCAGAGGGAATATAAATATTTTAATTCAATTAAGTGTCATTTCTATGCTCTTGGTTGAATTCTTGCTTTTGGGTATAGCAAAACTCATTAAAATGAATACTACGATAGCAGGGAAGTATCAGCCAGGAACATGAGAAGCAGTATGTTGCCGTGGAGAGTATTGTGTGTGCAGATGGAGTTTTGTTTGCTGATTTGCTGTAGTGCTTTCCACTGCCAAAGACACGAGCCACATTTTAGACTGAACACCAATTTATTCCTTTAGCGGTGGGAACAACTAAAAGGAGCGGTAGCAAGCACCGCTCCAGCTGTGGATGCCATTCCCTTCCACACAAGGTTCTCTCATTGGATTCCAGTCCTCTTGTCTATACAGACCCACCAGTTTTTGTCATATTGCAGCCTGACAACTGGGCTTGGGCAGCACAGTATGTAATTAACAGCTGTGTCAGTCTTGCCATTGGTTACCTTTCAGCGGCTATTTGCAAAAAGTGAAAAAATTAATGCATTAGTGAACTTTATCTTTCTTGTTTCAATTTATGAAGTGCCGTCGATGGAAAACAATAACTGATATTGACAAAAGAAGTGCCAGACACATTTCAGAGGAACTGTTATAAAAATATTCTAAAAATTCTCTTAAAGTACATGAGACCGTATGTCTAGATTGCTACTTTTACTGGGCTAGATCCAACCAGCCTTTCCACTGGTGGAAAAGGGAGGATGGGTTCTGCTTTGACTCCCAAAAGGCAATGTCTGGGATCATGGGACATGCAGGGACAAAAGCCATGTGGAATGGGATTCTTGTAGGATGCAGAATTGGGTGAAAAAGCTGGGTCCAACCCACTGCTGCTTTCTTGGTCCAGATGCTTGTACTGAAGTCTCACTGCCCTGCCTCCATAGTTTGGAACTTTCTGTATTAGATCACTTTTCTCTCTCTTTGCAATTACCTCGTTGTTTCAGTATTCCCTTGAATTGCTATTTGGAAAGATTTTTCTCTTATGTACAGGTAGTCAGATTAGAAGGGCTGTTATGCCTTTGTGTAGATGTTGCCCTCAAATGAAGTATGCAAAATATGTAGTTTATGAAAATCAAATCATTTTCTAAAACAATGTTCTTAAATATACCACAGGTACGGCGATATGAGGGTCACAATGGGATGTGAAATATTCAGCATGTGGCAAAATTTAGGTAAGGTTACAGTCCTTCAACTATCCTTGTCCAGGCCATTTTAAGAGAATGACAAGCACATTCAACTGGGCTCTAAAGCAAATTGGCAGTCAGTAGAGTTATTTCAGCAACCAAGAAATCTTTCCCCTCCAACTGAGGAAGATATGCAACAAATCTTTTGTACCAGTTTCTCAATAGTCAAGTACAGAAATGCCAGGGTTATTTGTATCTTGAACAGTTAATAGCTCTTTTAGGGGCATTTGCCCCAAGCTGGGTTAACAAGCTTGGTGGGAGCCTTTATTTAACAAAGGATAGGGGATTGGGAAGAATGAAGCAGAGTTAGAGCTGGCAGGACCAGAATGAAAGAAACAGAACCAAAGGCACAGGAAGGGGGGGGGAGTACCAGAGCAAGCGGGAGGGAAGCCCAAGTAAGAGGAAGGGAAGATAACAAGGGGAATATTTCCATTCTCCCACAAGTCTTTGCGGGTCCCCACTTGTCTGTTTATAAAATGAAGCTGGCTGGCTGGCTGTAGATCTTGAGTGTGTCACATCATGTCACATTATACACTGATAAGAACTTCTGTTGTATGGTATGTCACCACCAAAAATGATAGTTCAGTTCTATTTGGTTTTGTATTTCCATTGCAGGAGAACACAAAGTCCACTTCATCCCAGCGCTGATTGGCCCTTTCTTAGAAGTGACACTGATACCTCAACCTGACCTACGGAATGTAATGATTCCTATTTTCCATGACATGATGGACTGGGAACAAAGGCGCAGTGGCAACTTTAAACAGGTATTTGTCAACTGCTTAGAAAAAAGGGGAAAATATACCACTGAAAGCCTTCCTGCCAGGGCTGTGTTGCTAAACAGAAATATATGTCATTTAACCCAGTATTTTGTTTTCAACAGAGAGAGTGTTTGACTGCTTTGGAAAATTTGGAAGGACTCTACTTTTCTTGTTTCATGTAGAGTTACTGGTGGCTTGAGATTTTAGCATCAGCTTTAGCATGGATATGTGAGCCCTAGCTATTTTGCTTTAAAACTAAACTGATAAATTCTCTCCTTCCTGTGAATGAATGTTGGAGTGGGTGGGGAGATTGTACCCAAAGGCAAATGCCAAGCACCACTGTGATGCTTAGTGAAAGCTGAAGAGAACGTGACAGAATACAGAAATTGCCAGAGGGCTAAAACTCAGAATAAGTGTATGGGGAAAGAAGGGGTATGGACTTAGCTTAATAAAGGACGAGGAAGATAGAGCAATTGTTTGCAGAAATCATGTTTTTAGAAAATACTTGGAAGAGGGATAGGAGAATGTTTCCTAGGTGGAAGGAAATACAGTTTGAAATATAGGGCAAAATGGGAGAATGAAGGCCAGAAGGAAATGGAGAGCTTTAATGGGAGGGCAGTAGGAAGCAAGGGAACAAGAGGATATGTGAGAGTATGAAAGAACATTGTATTCAAGGACTCAAGTATCCAAGTAACAACAAGACAGTACCAGGACTGAAGGAGAGGGAAGGCATGGCGATAATGCTATGTGGTATTATTGTAGCAGAAACATTCTGAATTGGCTGAGAAAAGCTAAAAGAGTGGGTCAAGGGTACCCAACCTTTTTTTTTTTTAAAGCCTGTGGGCACTTTTGGAATTTTGAGGGAATAGTGAGCACCACCCCAAAATGGCTATTACAGGAGGTAAAGCCAAACCCAAAATGGCTGCCACAGGAAGCAGAGCCAAGCATAATACCTCCCTCATTCCTCCCTCATATGGCAGCCATGCTGAACCCCTGAAGCTACTCTATTAATTGGTCTGTCAAGGTTGGTATAATCTGTACTTTGATTGGAAGCATAGTCCTGCCTAGGGTTGCCAAGTCCCCGCTGTATGCACAGCGGGGGACTCCAGCTGTGGTCCGGGAGTGCGCGTGCGCGTGCGTAGCGCACGCGTGCCGCAACCACATCACCTGGAAGTGATGCAGCCGCGTCGGGCACGCCAGGGGCAGGGCCGCGGTCATCCGAGGGAAAAACATAGATTTTTCCCTCAGATGACTGCGGCCCCGCGCCCGGCATGGCTGCGTCACTTCTGGGTGATGTGCTAACGCCGGGCACGTCATGTACTTTGGGGGTGGGGTTCCCCCCGGGGCCCAATCCGTCGGTGGCAGGTAACGGGCCTCTGGGGCGGGGGTTTCCCCACCCCCCCGGGGGGACTTGGCAAGCCTAGTCCAGCCACTGGAAGGACAGCAAGCATGGAGAAGGAGAGGGGCTTTTACTCCTGAACACTTATCTCCCTCTTACAGCAGCCCAGCTCCCTGGACTTTAAGACCAGTATAAATTTCCATCTCTGCTTTGCAAAAGAAGCTCATGACAACAGTTAGTTAGGCCTGAAGGTGGAATGGAACCACATGCTGGCTAAGGAAAGTCTTGGTTCCAGGTGCTGTTGCAGCCCTTTCATTTGAATGAAGGCAACCAGTAACAATCCCTGCCTTACAATGGCCCCACCCACTTTCTGAGAAGCATGACAGTCCTAGTGGAAATAGTGATGGGTGCCATATTGGGGAACCCCGAAGTAGAGTCCAGTGAAGATACAGGAAAAGGGCACAATACATCTAAGAATGCCAGACTTGGTATCATGCTTATAGGATTAGGATCCACCTTGACCTATGAGGAAACAGGATTAAAAAAAAAATCAGTAGCAGTTACCAGAAGAGAGTAATCTTTATGCTCTTCAGTGAATTTGATAACAACATAGGATCCATCCTGCTGGAGCAGACTAGTGGTCTATCTAGTCCATGATACTATTTCACAAAGTGGCTAACTAGTTGCCCTTGGGAGTCAATAAAGAGGACATATAAAGGTCAAGGCCTTCCCCTGCTGTTGCATCCTTGTACTGGTATTTAGAAGAACAAAGTCTGAGTCCAGTGCTTCAGACCAGCATGGCTACCCACCTGAATCTATTTTCTGGTAATAAGTGCTCGGGGGTGGGTGGGGGGCTTCGTCATCATGGCTAGTAGCCATTGGAGAATCTATCTTCTGTGAATCTGTGAAATCTTCTCTTAAAGCCAAGATGCCTATGCTTGCCTTAATATTTTAATGGTCATCAGAATGGCAGGGAGGCCATAAAGTTGAGGAGTTAGCATTGATCAGATCTTTAAAAGCTTGCTATAGCTGTTGGATAAAGTAACAACACTGCTTCTGTAGCATTAATTAGCTACACCACCCTTCACTGGCATTATGGAATAGGCCCATATATACTGTTGCTCTCTAGACAGCTGCTGAAATATTGATAAAGTATCCCTTCAACAGAAGAAAACAATGCCTAGATCCTACACAACAAATTAGTAGCAATTGTACTTAATGATTTTGCAGAAAAGGCCCTAGTGAAGGAAATGCCTTAAGGATGAAGCATCACTGTGACTGTGAGGTCTGACCATGATTGCTCATTAATGTTCCTTAATAAATATAACAGTTTTCCAAGGCTGACCCCTGTGATTTGCCAAGGCCTGTCACAGTCCAATTCCTTTTTTTTGCTACTTAAGCATTCCTAGAGATGCCAAGTAAGGAAGTACTAAGTGCACCATCTGCTATTCCAGTTTGGATTCTGCTTCTTGATGTTGCTTCAGATCATTTCTCTGTGTTCCCTTTCCTGCTGCTTCAAATGAAGCAGAGCAGGAGCATCTGAATTGGTGGAAATGACAAAATAACAGGAGTGGGGCTTGCAGATATATTTGGGCGGGGCAAGGCATGGAAGTGGGGGAGTAAACTGATATAACAAAGCTGTAGAGACACAGTGCTTTTATAAATAATGTACACATTCTAATTTCTGTCTGCATTATGCATGATTATTAAAGATGCCAGTTATCAGTCATTCTTTAATAACTCCACGGGAAGCCTTTCCTCAGGCTTTTCATTCACCAGTTTTCTTATTACTGTGCAAGAGACAATTTTCTCCTGCAATATTTACTCGCAGAGCTACCTTGCTATGTTTTGATGGCATACACTGTCCCAAGTGTGCTTAAGTGATGATCATTAAGTCCCAAACTCATGTTCCCTAACTGTTTCTTTTGCCCAAGTGAAAATTAAGCACATCTCTCACATGAAGTGAGGCAGGGCATCAGACCATTAAACAATTTCAGAGGCAATTTGTGAAGCTATGTAAAGTAGAAAAGGGTGAAAGGATAAAAACAAATTGTTTTTGTGTGCCTTTGATTTTAAGCCCTGGGGCAGGATTTCAAGCAGGTTGTCTGGTTTTTTGTTGTTATTTTGGCTCCCAAATAGCTGCTTTAACAGCAGCACATGCTTCTTAGTTTGTAGTTTGAAAGTCACACTTTTCCACTTGAATTTGGATACATGGCATAAATGTGAGATGGCCTCTTTGAAATGGTTCAGCTCTACAAGGGAAAGGAAGAACCGCCGTGGTTTACAATTCTCCATATCTGGATACTTTTATAAAGCTCGTTGCATGTATGTATATATGTATTCCAGTCATTAGAACATCCATATACATGAAATTGTAATTTAAAAAATTCTTAGATATAAAAACAAAATACATAATACAAGCAGAATTCAAATTTGAGCCTAGTTATAATACAGTTTCCGTATCCTCATGATCAGTCCCCCTGCAAAAACAGAAAATCAGTCTCTTTATATCTTGAGAAAGAACTTTGCTATGTTCTCCAAAAGGCTTGAATGCATACATATGCTACTTACAGGTAGAGGCAAAACTGATTGACAAGCTGGATAGCTTGATGTCGGAGGGCAAAGGTGACGAAACTTACCGAGAACTCTTCAACAGTATGTGAGTAATAAATGTTTATTTTGAGAGTCAGCTTGGAGAATAATTTCATTGTGGAGTTAAAATTGCAGATATAGCTACATTGTTGGGGGTGGGGTGCTTTGTCTTCCTGAAATGTCTTTAATCAGGGTTAATTACCTAAACAAGTGAACAAGTCTTGTCCTTATGTCTTTAATTACAAAGATTGTAGGTTTTTCTATTTAAATTGGGAGAGCTAATTTCATTCATTTAATTGTTAAAAATAGAAAAGCTGATTAAGAGACAGTAAGCATTTTTAAAAGTAAATGTATGTGAGCATCAAAAAAGCTGATGTGTTTAACTGGTCACTTATTGCACCGATAGCTGATGTTGTTAGCAATTAGGAAGGTGTAACCCAAACACTTAAATGTCTCTAAATGTCTGTCTATAGTCAAAAGAAATGGGGTACAGTCCTATCAAAATTAAGGAAAGAACTAGTGATTTCAATAGCGAGCTGTTGTGGCTCCATTTGCTTTGTATGCTGAAGTCTCAGCCCCTTTAGTAAGTAAGCTGCAGCTTCATATGTTGATAAGCTTATTTTCTTCCATTTTTCTCAGTGGTTCCTATGAGTGAAGTGTGTACATCTCTCCCATTGAAATCAATGGAACCTAAAAGTGCTACATTGTGACAGAGGCTAAAAAACTGTGAGCTAGCTCACACTAACTCAGTTTAGAGGGAACACTGCATGCCACCATCACCAGAAGTGATATCACACACAACACTCTGGTTGTTGGGCAAAACTCTATGGTAAAATTGACTTCACACCATAGAGTTTTGCCCAGAAACCAGAGTGCCCCCCCCAGTGTCACCAACGTGCCTGTGTCACTTCTGGGTGATGTTGATCTGGCCTTGAGCCAGATATCTGGAAAGGCGGGATATAAATATAAACAATAAATAAATAAATGTAGGCACATCGTTCCATGTGCTCTTTGGGGGGTGGGGAGGAGCCCACAAAAGCAGGGGATCCCCCACTGCCAACTGGGGCCTGGCACCCCTAGTATTACTGGTTCAATAATTTCCATTTTCAAGGAGTTGCTGATATATTTAGATCATACACAAGACTATCTTATGCCTTCATTCTCAAAATATTAAGGTAGACTGTATGGGAAAAAATGAATTAGAAATACTTTCAGAAATTTTATCAACTAAAACAAGTAATATAACAAGTATGATACAGTTACTGCATTGTCTGTCTTTCTCCCCCTCATGTGTATGTATGTGAATGCACATACACGTTTTATATATAAAATGTTTGTGTGTGTTCACCCCACAAAGGACATCAAAATATCATCATCATCATCATCATCATTATCATCATTATCATTATTTCCAATACTTTAATAAAATGTGCTAAAAGCTGAAGTAGATGGTTTGAGTCAGCTAAATGCCGATAAGGCAAGGCAAAAGAGAATTCTGTGTAATGGCCGCTATCCAAATCCTAACTATGCATTGTACAGCGGCTGACACAGCAGGAAGGTGAAGCAGCTCTGTTTGCAGAGGCCTTTTTAAATTCTGGAGCAGCTATTACAGAAGTGAATGTATGTCCAGTTCTCTATTGCCACTAGACATTATCAGTGGCAAGCCAGTTTTTTAAAAGACAGATGGGGCACTTTCCCTTCAGAACAGTGCTCAATTTCAGGTTCACTGGCACTAGAAAGATCGCTTTACTTGGACTCTACTCTTTATTTATTTAAAGCAAAAAACAAAAGGGATCACAGGTATCCAACAGGAAACTCAACATACAAACAAACCCTGCGATATGACCAACATTAGTACGATAGCTTTTTAAAACTTTCTAAAATTGCAAAAATTCTCAATTGTACAATATTGTAAAAAAGTCCAACATAGTCCAACCCATAACCATACCCGGTTATGAACTCATTTCAACTTTACAGTCTTCCTCAAATGTAATCCTATATTGTCAGGAGGTATCATCTTCTTAATCCAGCTCAGTATTATAATTCCTTAATTCCTTCATCATACTAATGTTGGTCATATCGCAGGGTTTATTTGTATGTTGAGTTTCCTTTATTTATTTAAAACATTTGTTTACTTCCTTCCATTCGATCAGAGTCTCCAAGGTGGCATACTTAAAGCATTAAAACAATTTAAAACAATATCAATACAATCAATAATTCAATTGATACCATTAATAATTCAATAAAAACACATTAAAATAACAGGGAGGAGCTGTTATTAGGCATATGCCAAACGATACAAAAATTTAGTTAATGGCCAGTTTGTTCACGGCACGTGGGCATGCATCCCTCCATGGTGAACAATATATTATATTTTTGTCAAACAAATATAAGCAAAGCAGCCAGCTAGACACTGCCAATGCCTAGAGTGTGCACTAAGGGTATTCTGAGAATGCTTTGTTTTATGATCCCCTTTTGCTAGAAGATCAGATACACATAATGCATTGCATAATGTGACTGAAAATGCTTATGTATATAAGAATCTGAAACAGGCGAGGTTTTATTATAGTTAGCAAAAGGGAATGATAGGGAGGAAACGCCTGTGTAGTTAAAGTATTTCTAGTAGTTCTGTCATGGTGTTCAACCTTACTTTCTTTTTTAAAACTTACACTAATATTTCCATAGTATCTGTTTTGGGAAACTATGTACCTCAAATGTGTAATTCAGCGAGGTGATACTGCAGTTGTGTGCATAAAATTTCATGAATCCCCAAGTATAGTTTTTAAGTAACCACTTCTAGTTGGACACAGCAGAGAAAACCACAGCTTTCTGTGATCCTCCTGTAATGTATAAACAGGTTGGGCTTTGTCTCAGGATACAGCTTTTTAATTTTTAGCTGAAATTGCCCTGCATTTTTGAAAGATGTAGATCCATAAAGCATTTTTTATTTTCTCCACCCACTTGGGACAATTCTCTTTAAACTAGTTCATAAACATTGAAGTATTTATTGATTTCATAACTAAATTGCAGATGCCGTTTCGGTTTTTCAAGAATAAATATGATTGGATTCTGATTCTACTACAATATTATAGTGGAATATCCTGCAGCTATCAATCTTTTGGCAGACTGCACTTGGAGAGGCTTGTAAACTGACCAAATATAACTGTGACTCCAAGAGGTGTCTCTCTAGAATGTTACTAAAAATGGAAGACAAAATGAGTTTATAGTAGGGTTGCCAGCCTCCAGGTGGTGGCTGGAGATCTCCTGCTATTACAACTGATGGCTGCTTTGGAAGTTGGACTCTATGGCATTATGCCCCCAGACCTGTCCTCCTCAGGCTCCACTCTCAAAATCTCCAGGTATTTCCCAACCCGGAGCTGGCAACCCTGGTTTATAGCATCCTTTATCCAGTATAAAGAGTCTTGTATCTTGTCACCCTGTTAATTGCAACTTCAAAATTCAAAAACAGTAATCTAATCTAAAATTGCAGAAACAAAAAATAAACAAAAAACCCACCTGAGTATTATGTCATCAAATGTTACCTGAAATTGGGAGAAATCTTTTGGTCTATTAAAAAGATTGATTTCCCCCCGAAAATTTACTTTAATTTTTTATTTTTTATTTTCAATTGGCGAGCTCTCGTTTTTGTATCTTTAAAAACTGAGTGGTCAAATCTTATATTTTTATAGATTTAGAAATTTAAATATTATAAGGGGGGACCTACAAGCACTTATGAGGGGTATCTCATTTTCTTTTTTCTTCCTGCCCACTATTTCCTCTTTCCTTTTCTTTCCCTTTCCTGAAAGACACTATAGCCTCTTGGCTTTTCCTGCCTCGTCTCTCATTCACACCCACCAGCCTGCCTGCCTACCTATACTTGCCCCCCCCAGTCTTCAGCTTTCCCTCCTTCCATGCCCCTGTAGCTCCTACCCAGGAAACAATGTGGCCTAATTGTTTGCTGCTGGTCTCTAGGTTGGGCCTAGTTGCACAGTGGAGAACCTGCAAGGATTTGTGAAGGGAACTTCCATTTTCCCCTGTATCTCCACACTATTTCCTGTTTCCCTCCTCCTGGCAATGCCCATATCTTTACCTTTCTCTGCTTCCTCCTCTATGTCTCACTCAGCCACCAACCTAATTTTTATCTGTTCCCCATCTTCAGCTTTATCTTGTTTATTGACTTCATTTGTACCCCATACTTGTCCCCAGTGGTGACCCAAAGCAGTTTATATAATTCTCCTCAACTCCATTTTATCCTCACAACTGCTTTGTGGGCATGGGTAAACAGGGAGTGAAAAACGCTAGTAAAGGGCCCCTTGTCCCAGGCCGCCTTGGCCCTGCCACCCAAAGGGCAGAGGAAGAGTCAGTCTGCCTGATCCTGACCCACCCTCCTAAATAGGGAGGAAGGAAGAGGCAGCCTGCCTAATCAGTTAGCCAGGTACTGCTTCCTTTATCCTGCATGGGGCCTGGGAAGCACCCACCTTGCCCACTTTGTATGAGTCTTGGGTGGGCTACACGCTGCTTCCCTTGCCTGTCTCGTGCAGTGCTGGGTGCCACCTCCCTGCCTGCCCATGCGAGGCCATGCTGTGCTCCGCCTCAAACAGGCCTTGGGCAGGGCAGGCTCAAGCCCTTCAGTCACAGATCTGGCTTGCCTCACATGCAGGGGAGGCCAGCCCACTATGAGGTGTCGCGGTTCTCTTTATGGCTGATCCATCCCTGCCTGTGAGCCAAATTATGCTGAGAATATGTAACTGGTCCATGGTCACCTAGTGAGTTGCCACAGCAGAATGGGAATTCCAGGTCCTAGTCTGAAACTCTAACCACTACGTCACACTGACTTTAGTTGGATGGCTGCTTTTGAGCAGTAGCAAGGAGCCAGAACTGGGTGAGTCATGCAAGTCCCAAAATAGCAAGTTGCCCAGCAAGCCTGGCCCCAATGAATCCTCCTTCAAAGGCCCAAAAAGGCCTGAAACCTGGCCCAACATCACCTAGTGAGCTCCCATGGGAGACTGGTCATTTGATCCTGAGTCTCCCAGACCCTACTCTGAAGTTCTAATTGCTACACCACCA